CATCTATCAAAAATGACTTTATTAGCATCGAAGATTGTTGTGATAATCATTAAGATTTTTAAAGAAACACTGCTTTTTCTATTAGAAGCATATTTTCTGTTAAATCGTTAAAACTTTAAATGCACTGAAAATATGAGATATGTTATAAAAATATATTCTTTTATTTTCAAATTATTTTTTTCTTAGATTTATTTTTTTTAATGTTTTATAATGTTTAATAAAATATTTTTAAAAAATATATATATGTATATACAGCTCTCAAAATATTATTATTTGTTGCAATATAATATCGATTAATCGTGATTTAAATTAGGTGATGCAAGTTTTAATATAACTATTACGGGATAATCATCGGTTCAATGAACGAGACATTCATTGTCGAATGGAAAGCGTCACTAATGGCAAAATACGCAACATCCATCATTTATAAAATTGCCAATGACGAGTGAACGTAACTAATGAAGTATGACCTTTTGTAGCGTCCGGTAGAAAGTGATTTGTTGCATACATGTAGCTTATTATGTCAACATAATTTTTCACAGGTAAAAAAATTTGACCCTAATAGCTATCGTTTCTTCACGTGGCGACGAGAAGCGGGACAGACATTGAACGTTATCGAATGTATCGCGCTATCACATGGCAAACAGGGTCACAAACGGAAAGTCGGTTATTCTTGAACAATGGTGGCTTATTTTCGCAGCGCTAAATCCATAATCGCGCAAAAGGACTCTATCATTTCGCGCATGAAGTTTATTGTTTTTCCTGATCCAACGACAAAGGCAAACCACATAGTATACTTTCCGTTACGATCGTAAACGGAGCACAATGAAAAAATTAACTAGCTGTCTAAAAGTCTATTTCTGTTTTGTCTAGTTCTGTTATTTTCTCACTGTAAAATAAATAACAATGATTTTACATTAATCTTCACTTATACGAAACCGATGATACATAGTTTTATTTTCTGATATACTTGAAATCGTTCAACTTTCATTATTTTTGCTTACTGTTATTTGTTATGCTGACAAAAAGCATACACTGAATATATTTTTATTGTAAAATAAATGATTACACATAACATCTTATTAATTGCAAAAAGAAACATTATGAAAAATATTTTTGTTTGATAAGCCACGAAAATAATTTTAATTTAAAAAAGAAAAGTAGAAAAATTTAGAACAATTCAAATGATTAATATTAAATTCATTTCTCCTGGCGTTTTAAACTACCACATGTAAAATGATTATATATGTATATATCGACGTAATATGTATCTTGCGAGTTAACATCGTTGGAAACGCATGGTCAGCTTGTATTCACTTGTAATGCGTACCCTACCGGATGTCATGTCGTTCGGCTTAGGTAAGCAATGTATTAACTATCCATTTTCCAGCCATCAGTCACGCAATTCGTGTTGTAATGCTGCTTCTAAATATATTTTTTAATAGAGCTATAACCTACGGCAATTGAGTCACTTGATAGAATTTTGATAAGAACCAAGTTCGACTTTATCAAGTCGTGTTGATAATGTATCAAAAAATGTATTTGATACGTTATCATTTATCTAAACGTCATAGAAGATGCATTATATCAATAAAAAGTTATTTTAAAAAATTGATATAATTTTATAAAATAAAATTCATATATATAAACTCTACAATTTGTTATAAAATAAGTGTAATAAACAACATATATCATTTATGGACTCACCTTTCTTCAATTTTGACTTATCTTTATTAAAATATATACTATACTTTTATTTTTTGCGTACTCTCATGTCTCGCTAACTGTCTTATGTAATGTATAAGACTATTACGCAACTGATCACTAAAAATCACATTAAATATTCAAAAATAAAATATGCATCTACAGAAGTTAAACAATGAAATCGCAAAACATGCACATATAAAGTATATACGAACGCGATTCTTTGCGTAATGTGACATTTCCTTTGTCAAACATAATTAATAAACGTCGTTATTTCTACCTCTTATATACATAATCTGAAAACGTCATTGCATTATATAATTGAAAATTGATCAAAAGTGACAGTTCAAATATCAAATATTATAAGTGCTAGAAATTCAAATATCAAATTCAAATATCATAGTGCTAGGAACTTACCATAAAAATTGTAATATAAAAATGTGGAGTTCTTATACATATTAATTATTTTACACATATTACATTTATACATATATACCCAAAAATTACAAACGTAATTTCTTGTAATAAAAATAATGATAAATTTATTATTTGAGAGAATAATTTTTTAAGCTATCTTCTTATTGGGAATGAAAATTTATCCTGCTCGAAAATCTTGAAATATAAAAAAAGAGTTAAGTATTATAAATTATATTCTTCCAATTATTCCATCATTTTATATATCATTTTACATATATATCAAAATAAAAATAATAATAAATAAAAAACCAATAAGTATTTGCAAAAACTGCTACAATATCATTAAGAACTTAAAAGTTTTTTGCGAAAGCTCAGAGGAGAGACAAGCGACAAAATGACTCAAGACATCGCATACAATAGCAGCATAACGTTTATTAGCACATCAAAGATATTATAATGCACTATAATTTCTTAAATTTACAATGTAAATATATTTCCCGCATATTTATATAATTTTTATATGTATATGTATAGACAGACGTTAAACCTTATTAATGTATTTAGACGAAGCATTTTGACGCAAAATAAAATATTAATCGCAAAATAAGATATTCTATTATCAGACATCAAATTTAATGCGTCATACGACAATCCTATTTTATTTTAGCTTCTTCTAAATATATTTTCGAATTAGAAGATCACAAAACTGATCACAATAAGTTTAATTTGTGTGCGTATGTGTTAACTGTGCAATTAATAACTGCACAGTTATTCACGTTTAAAGTGAATAAATACATGTTTGTATCATATATGCTGCAATTAATTAATTTATGTACAATAAAAATAAAAATCATGTATGCAAATATTATTTTATATATTAATATATATTAATATTTGTATAGTATTATAAGTTACTTTTAAAGTGGAAGAGAAATATAATATTCATTTTTAGCAATGTGTTACAGCGAGCATTTTTGAATATATTGTATTTGAATCTTGTATATATGTATAATATTAGAAAGAAGATATATATAAACACGCATATATATATATATATATATATATATATATGAGTATGTATATCAGTTATTTATTTCTAAGAGACCATGAAATAATATACGAACTTTGTTATGTAATATTAACATTTCTGTGGAATTATCAAATATCTTATCATTTTATTTGTGACGACGATTCTAAAAAAAACTGGCTATGATATATTTACTGATTATGATACTTACAGTTATGTCAAAAAAGTAACGATCGAAATCTAAGTCGTCTTCTATACACTTTTGCAAGAAGATAAAATGAAGATATGTATATAATATTGCCGATATGTAGGTACATCACAAAAAATGGCATTTGCAACAAAAAATAATATACTAATCTAAAAGGAACTATTTATTCTCTAATAATAAAACAAATGGAAAATTCCTAATACTTCTAACATTTCTACACGACGAACGCGAAGCTAACACTCTGTTTCCGGAATTTTTACAAATTGTCGTTCGCTACGAAGGACTCTGCTTAATCCATTAGATTAGCCAGGAATAACCATCGATAACCGAGAGCACCGAATTTTTTTTTAACCCGAATAACGAACTCAGATCGTTAGCTTTTTTTTGTGCAACGATTGTGCTTTCACAGCACGTCTTTCGCTTTGCGTCGGCAAAGATTGAAATCCAGATTCGACAGATTTGTATTACAAATTTATCTTACCATAGGAAGACTGCAACCATTTTGAAGAATAGATGCACAGATCGACTAATATTTTAAATTAATATCACTTAAATTCAAAGAAAGATAATGAAAGTTTTAATAAAAATAGAATTGCTTTCGAATTGTTACACGACCAATAAGATTTAATCTTGTTCCTGACACTAAAATCTATCCAGTTTGATCAAACCAAAGATTTACCTCGCGCATATATGAAATGTTTTTTTTTCTTTTAGGGAGAAATTCATTCTGTGTAATTTATTTATTCTTTTGGAAATAAAACACACGGAAAGTTTTTTTAGGTGCATATTGCAAAAGGGCGAGTGTATAATAAAATGTTTTTTGAAAGGATAATAAAAATATAAATATTTTTTGTGTTGATTAAATATCATAGGGACACAGGCATGCGAATAATTCTGATACATATGTATGTCATAGTTTGCATATGATATGCAAAGTCTCTTATGAAAAGTCTTCTTATTATTCAATTTTTCTGATAATGTAAGACAGTTTTATATATAGTTTCAGATAATTCAGCTATAGATATACTAAGCAATAGAATAAATTTTAAATGCAAGCATTATGTATACAATGCTCTAATAATCTCTTAGACATATATTATATATTATCACGCAGAAAGACCAGCTGCTTATTTTATATTTTATTAGGCGGATAAAAATAAGGCCTGCATAAATACGTTATAATATTTCAGAATCTTTCATGTAACGATAAAATCTCTCTCATAAAGATGCTACCCTGCTTTCACACGGACTTCATAAATATATATTAATATCAATAACAATGAGTCAAGACGAAAACAACTTAATATGTATATATATGTAAATGATTTCAAAATATATATCAACGTCACGAATTTTTTAAATATCACTATACATATGTATATGTACAATTCGCCTCATAGTTTTCCGCTGTTTTGACCGCAACAATACGATACGAATGAGTGACACATCGTATATCGTATATTTAAACGAGAGAGGTCGAGAAACTTGCTCTAGAGTGCGTGACCCCGGAAACGTCCCAATCGTCGCACTAGCGGTTTTTGAGGCAGACGATAAAAAGACAGAAACGTAACACAACGGTTATGCATGTACACGTGGGCAGAAAGAAGCGTCATGCGGTGCAGCCAAGCGTGCGTTGCTGTTTACCTGCGAACGGCACGTCACCGAAGTATTCCTCGACATTGTCCGTGGACATGCTCTTGTCGGACAGAGATACGCTGGATAGCGAACCGCTTGACGCGTCCAGTGATCCAGCGGTGGGAAACTGCAGCAGATCCTCATCTGTTTCCGTCTCCATGTCGCGAGATCTTCGCTTGTACACCTATTTGTGACAAATCAGCGCCATTTGAGAAAGAAGCGCGCGACTCCTCGCCTAAAAAAATGTTCGCGCAGTATTTCGCGTAAATAAATAAATACTGCGAGAAATGGTATTTCAACGCTCCTCGATTTCCGAGCGTCGAATATCTGCCGTCTATCATGTCGTGCTGATCATGTTGTTGGATTTATGACAGTTGCGTTTTACAATTTGCCCGCGACCGCTATTACTCTGCGCGTATCACCGTTATCGCGAAATTGTCAACATTCGTATTTTATATACGGATATTTACAGTCGATATAAAAATTCCCCACCTCCCTCCCCCATGAGTTGCGTCGCGCCGCGTTAGCAAAGCGCACGAAAAATGAAGCCAATCCTATCGCGATGAAAATTTATTGAAACGAAACGTCCGCGCGCGCAGGCACGCGAGAAATATGCCATGTAAATCGGAGGGAAAATAAATACGCGTGGTCAACCTAAAGCATATTTATTTATTCGAATAAAAATCTATACCTTTTGACATTAATTCTTTCGATTCTGCTGACGGCGAGTTATAAATGACAAATATAATACGATTTTTTCCAGCACTCTGGAATTTTATGATCCGCAGAGAATTGTTGCTGCAACTGTTGATGCAACTACAGATGCATCGGAATTATTTTATATGCAAAAAATAATTTTTTTATTAAAAAAAAAGATGAAAGATTGTGTACATGTGTGTGTGTGTGTGTGTGTGTGTGTGAATAGCCTCAATACTGAAACAATTAAAGTCACAATTCGATTCAGTCGATACAGATCGCTCATACATACATACGCGTATGTATTTTTATAATGTTGTGATATTAATAGCAAAAGCTCTGTAATCAAAACGGTCAACGTAACGCCTCTTATATTTAATAGCAAACGCGTATAAACCACCGAGAATTGCGTTACGCCGCTCAAAGAGATTTCGCGTTTTGATTTACTAAGTGTAAACTGCGAGACGGCAACCCGCTATTTCATCGCGCCGTTCTAGAAAGGCTCTAACGCAATTAAAATTTGATGTCAGAGGCTCGACAGACGCTCGCGGTATCATCTGTAAAATGCCGAGAGCGTCTCGAGGAGACAGCCGGAAACCGTCGCTACAAATTCGCGAATTTCTCTCTCCTCTATGGCAACGGAGAACGAGCGTTCGTGAGGCGAAGTCAGACAGGCATAGAAGCCGAGGGCTTCATTATTCAAAGGGTGTCGGCATCTTGCATTCTGCCGCTCTACTGGATTCGCGGAAGTTGACGGGTGAGAAGCAACCATCCGTAGACGGATGGTTCTCCCGTCTCTTCGTCCTTCCTCACGTTCTCCGATAGATTCACGGAGACCTATGCTGTCTTCGGATGCCGTTCGATCCCCGTCATCGAATCATATCAACCGCTCGAGGAATTGAGAATATGCTACTCGAATATATCGCGAGATTCGACAAATGATGTAGCGGGATATATATATATATATATATATATATATATGTGTGTGTGTGTGTGTGTGTGTGTGTGTGTATGTATATAGTGGCTTGCTTAAATCAAGCGATATAGTTAATTCTGAGTTCTCCGAATTTCTTTTCAATTTTCTGCATATACATGTTATATACTTAATACCGCTAAATCGACTTACAATTTTAAAATGAATTTAAATTTAGAAACAGAAAATACACGCGTATAAAATCATCCTTAACAAATACAAAGAATTTACGATCATCAAATACTAGAAAAAATGTATGAAGCGTGCCGTAAAAAAATATATACATGTCTACAAAATAAATGATCCGCATGATGAAGAGATCGATCACTTCTCAAACAAGTAATGTTATACGGTAGCACAGGAGCTCACCGTCTTTGCCGCGTTCGCTCCTTTCGCGGACTCCTTTCCGGATATATTCACTGTGAGATATTTCGTCAAGCGTGTATACCCGACTGAAAGACACGGATTGCGAATGCATATAGGGAACGGCAGAGAGAAGCCGCGATGGATGGCGGAGAGATATCGTGGAAAGGAGAGAAAGAGAGAGAGAGGAGAGAGAGAGAGAGAAGCAGGAGTGTGTTGGAAGCTGTGCGGTGTGCTATGGATATCCATTTGCTGTGGATGGGAACTGAACGTAGTCGGTCTCACAGCAGAACGATCATAGAGCGACGCGCAAACGGTAGCAAACGAGCGAGACAGGCCGAAGGCGATGGAAGCGAGGCAGATCGACTCCTTGTAAATCGCATCACAGATCAAACACAGCTTGTATATTAAACGTAACCTGGTAAGACGCCATGTTGACTGCTTATCTACTGTCCAAGACACCGGGTCAAGTGAGAGCGTTAATGACGTTCCTTAGCAAGAGCGCGCATATATTGCCGAGTACTTGTGCCACGACGAGCGACTTAAAGGACAGCTGTTCCAACTGTTCGACGAATATTTTCAAGATTTACATATATCCGCGGCTTCTCCTGGCTAAACCATCGAGTGTAATTCGGAATCTCCTGCAATCTGACGCACACCGGTGGAACTATATCTTGGTATTCCTGACATATGAAACGGATATACATATAAACGTCTCCTGCCGTACTTCCAAGGAGCAGCCGAGGATGCAAAATTGAACGCCGACGTTGCACGCTTCGCCGAGTACCGCGCGACAAATCGCAGAAACGCTTCCATTTGCCTGTCGTTTGAAACGAACTGCGGAATTCTCGCGGGAAATTGAGAATCTTGCTCATACACCCTCACCCGAGTTAATGCAAGGATTGGAAACGATATATTAGTTGCTTAAAAATCGTCGATTTATAACTCGTCAACCTATGATTTTCCTGAGACAACTTTATTATATGGAAATTACAATTTTTTCGAAGAATCCTTCTGTAGAGATCCTCTATATTAGAAAAATAGCAAAATCTTTCTTTGCAAAAAGCACGGATGAAATTCGAAAATTATATATGTTACTTCACGGAAGATTGTAATAAGATGTAGCAGCGATTATGCGCTGCTAATAACATGTCATTAATTATCCCCTATCTTTCTTGCGTCGTACGTGCGCCAACCTGCCGACCTTGCGTGGAATAATAATGAGTAATAGGATAATTAGTATTTACCTGGCTGAGTGGACGAATGCGCTCATGAATAGACTTTTCCGCTTGCATAGCGGACGGTGGTGGATGATCGGGAGTTGGTGGTTGAACGTAATGCGTGGGACTGGTCGGTAGCATCATTTGCACGCGTTTGAGACGTTTGTCGGTGGCTTCGCGATTCTCCGGCACGGACTGTCCGTCCATGATTTCGCGCTTCTCGTCGAGGAGACTTTCCTGGGAAGACTTCAGGGTGAGAAAGGCATTCGACACGAACGTTTGTTCCTGAATAGCTGCGTCGCCGTCACTGCAGGGTGACTTGTCGGTGCACGGGCTGCTCTCTGGTTCGTAACTCTCGTAGGCGTGTCTGCGTAATTTTCTTCGCGGATTCAACATCTTGATCGGTCGATTTTCGTAGATAGACGTTATGGCCACTGGCTCCACGTTGGGATCACGTTTCTCATCGGCATTTCCGACCAGCCGTGATTTCATTTCTACGTACTGGTCCACGCTTCGAGTGACATGTCGCAATTGCTCGCGTCGTTTTTGCAACTGCTCGAGATCGATGTGACTACGCGCCCCGCTGCGCGCTAGGAATAAGTATTCGTAATTACTCGGACCCACCGAACTGTCAGCGGATAAAGACATTTGTGTCTGCAGATGCGTCGGGGACACCGAAAGATTTCGCCTCGGTGGTTTCTTGGGCGGTGTCGGCTGCGAAAAAAAAGCGAACACATTTCTTCGCGGTCTCGCGAATTTGTATCGTTCGAATATTGGAAGACAATTTATTTGTTTTCAAAATTAAAAGAATACACACAAGAATATTTTTTTTATCATCTTCACCGAATGCGTATATGTATGTATATGTCCTGTCATAAATCTTTCTGCGTAATGTTAATTTAATAAATTACTAAGAAATTCTTACCGAGACTTTACTGTTGGAAGCAGGACTGTGTAGCGAACTGGACAGAGGTGCCATTGGCAAGTAAATCCCAGCAGCGCTGGAATCGTTGGGCAAACAACGACGATCCCGTGGGCTCGGTCCGCCAACGCTCGAGGATGACGACACGCTCAATTGGTCGGATTCTCTGCCCCCGTATCCCATGGGCAATGTCAAGGACAGGTCCTCCGACACGAAACTACCCTCCATTGTGCCGCGTGGCACGGGTGGAGTTTGGTACAATCCGTTATCGGAGCCCCTGTGCAACCAAAAGTCGGGATCTCAATGGAACCGATCTCTTATTATTGATCGATGATAAATCGACTCAGCGAATCGAGATCGTCGGAGTCGATTAATCAGTAAAAAATAGAAAGGTCTCACGCGTTTTCGCTGTTCTATTTTGTATGCGCTAACAATATATCTCAAAATTCAATTTGTTTGAAGTATGGAGTATTTACAAAAATTTTGAACAATATTAAATACGCGTGAATACTTTCCAACAATTCTACGTACGATACATGCATGTCAACTACTACTAAACTACGACATAACTTCAATATTACGAATATATTATGTTGGTTTCTAATGCAATTATAAGGTGCATAACGTTTGTATGTCTTTACCGTGTAGTGTCGAGTGATAATGTTGTTCGTTTGGTAGTGTTTTGTGGTATATCTTCAGGGGTTTGGTCGGAACTTTCGAGAGTATTTATAGAGTTGAGAGTGTCGGATAAGGACATAAAGACGCTGTCGAAGACGGAACTGAGGTCGGAATCCTCTGTCTGCTGGAGGACCCTCTGTACTTCGTTCATTAGTTCCTCGTTCTGCTCATCTTCACTGAAACGCGCATCCCGTCATCGATTACCAACAATCAATCGCACATCCAAAGCCAAGCAACATAATTCCCGTATATCAATCAAGCCGGAGTATTTAATTATGCAGCGCTAACATAAGGTTTAATTAATGTTTAGAAACAGCCGTATTATATATCGCACTCACGATCGCAATGTTAATTTATTTAATATTAAAAATTATACCATTTGCAAATAATGAAGTTATTCTCTAGATTAAAATATGCAAAAGTAAAGAGCATATATCCTATACAAAGATATAAATGTAAATTACATAGAAAAAAATTGCTTTCACTGACAAAATACGATTCATTTAAAGACATTCCCGAGCAAGTGTTGATTTTTAATGAGGCCACGTCGACGAAGATGGAACGCGGCGCGAACAACACGAGGAAAAGGAGCTGGTGGCCCTCGGAGACCGCGTGCTCGCAGCACGAAAAAGAGAGAACGATGGTTATTAGTTTTATGCTGAGATGGGCTAACATTTACATTGTTTAACGTGATGGATTCATTTCGAAGCGGCCAAACTGGGGCTACCAACGTCAAACATTGATGGTGGAAGTGCGGAACATCAACGGCAGCTCCCACGTTCTCTCGTCCTCTTTCTCTCCCTTCATCATCTACCCACACACACACACACACACACACACACATATATACATATATATTGTATATTATATATATATATATATCGCATATCTCTGTTTCTCTTTCGTTTCTCGTTCGCTCTTTCTCTCTAAAGATCATATCCCTCTATCGCCCTATACGTCTTCGTCTTTCTCTTTCTCGCACGCTGTTCCGAACCAACCAGTCGGGCTTAGCAGCTAGAACGGTAGCGTTGGCACAGAGTACCAATGGGGTGATGCAACGGGGGTGACCTAGGGGCGAACGAGGCGGTCGGACCCACCATCTCGCCTGCCTACATCAGGAAAATTAAACCAAGCCAAGCGGTGCTTAACGCGCTGGGGCTACATGCGGCCGTGCCACCTCCTCCAACCTCTTCCTCCACCTTCGCGTTTCACTCCCGACGCCACCCCACACCCGGGTTCCCTTTTCGGTCCGAGAACCTCCACCTCCAACCTTCTCTACTTTCTACGGATAAGAGCGGCCACGGTAGCAACAGCGCCAGCACCAGCCGTCATCATCCCGGTGCTTGGCCGGTACTCACTCATTCACTCCGCGCTCCGTCCGCGTCTCTACGCTTTTGTTTGTCCAACATCTCCTATATTAAAGCACAGCCGCGGCCGCTATGCGCGCGTAGAGTCTTTTTGCAAAATATTACGAATCCCGTGCTTACCCAATGTAATACCATCGCGGGGTTTTATTCCTGAAGAAAAGATTTCTACGAAGATGATCTAAATGACACGGGAATATTTTCTCACTGCACTCGACATGCAAACTTTTAATACGCTCGGGTAATTATACGCGAGAAATGCATATATATATATATATATATATATAATCACACCTAATGCTGTTAAAATTAATATTAATTAATATCTGTAAAAAGGTTCATAGTATTTTACGAAAATACGCTGTCTTACCGTTTATGTAATATATATAATATACTTGGTGTAATGTTTAATTAATACCGAATTAATATTTTGTGCTAATGTTAACGAACATATACTACATATTCTATGCAAACATATATCATTATCTATCACAGAGTCATGGCATTACAATGGAAAAATAAAATTCGACGCGTAAATATAAAATGATGCTGTATACTAAATGTGAAAAAAATATATATTGCAATGCACACGTACGCACACTACATACACTCAAAATGAATGAATAAAAATACTTACAAAGAAGTACCGGAAACGCGACGATCGTCGTCCCGAGGCTTATGATAAAATTGCCATTGAGTAGGAGATGTCCCTTCCGCCGGGGAAAGATCATCCCCCGGACGAACATTTTCGTAGGGGCTGCCCAATGAATCGCCACCCTGCACTGGAATTGGCGGCAAGTTCTCGCTGTCGGCGTCGCTTTCCACACCGGAAGAAGACCGATGTCCTATTTCAAAGTCGACAAAATCGTATACAATTTTCACTCGTGTAAAAATAAAACTATATAAATACAAAATAGAATTGCAACGCAACGAGTGAAAAGGAGAAAAAACCATAAAATGAAAAATTAAACTACTTTTGTTCAATACATATTTTCAGACAAAAAATATCGCGATCATAATTATTGTATAATGTAAGAGAGAATAATAAAAATTGCAGAGACATGCATCATTTTATGTTTCGCGCAGAAACAGAGTTCGGGATTAATCGTATCTTCAACTGCGCACGGCATAACGTTATGCAAATAGACGCAAATCTTTATACGTTGGCCAAGAGCGATTTAATTAAATGCGTCGCGGTAAACTAGAAATGTACGTTCCCTCTGCTAATTACATAACTCCTTGTACATCGGTCATGATGCTACGAAAATAAATTGCATGCAAACGCGACCTTACTTTTTATCACCGCCGTGATATCTTGAGTGACGTGCGGCGGAAACTGTCCCAGAAGATCAAGCACCGTGTTCTGTCGAGAATCCCTAATGCCCAAATCCACCCCACGATCTAAAAGCGCCCGTACAACTTCCATCTTGCCGCAGAGCGCGGCTTCGTGCATCGCGGTACCTGCTGACGTTCTCGTATTGACGTCAACTCCAGCGGCAAGAAGGACCTCCACGACCGCTCTGTAATAACATTATACGAACATCTCATTGCACTTACGTTACTTTACGTCTCAAGTAACAAATATGACAGGGCTCATAAAATTCGCTAATATTTTTTACACAAAATTATTCAGAATTACTATATTTATATAAGCTAGGACTGAGTTTTGCTACTATATATGCAAATGACTCTACGTTCTGTTATCTGTAATTTAATATAAAATAAAAAATAGAAATAATCCTTACAAGAATATTAAAAAACAAAATGATAATCCGCTGGCTGCGTAATACTTGAGCTTTACGATAATTCTCGAATGGGACAGGGATTTGATTAAAGGTTTTAAGCGACACATCCAATGATCGAGACATCGAGTTTGAGACTCGAGCTCCTATCAAAACTTTATCAAAAATGCATTTGCCATCAGCATTTAATCGAAAGCTTAAAATGCAGATTTTGTGTATGGCACATTCTCCTTCCATCGAGCTAGATGCACCGACTACGATGACCGCAGCCGTCCGTCGCATATAGGATTGGCGGCTGAAGATCGGATTCGTATGCACCTATGTTGTTATTACCGTAGCATAGGGGTATTTGTATACTGGCTTACCGAGAGCACCGATATTGAATCCGATAATAGACATTACTCCGCGGTCCATCCTCCTCTCTCCCAAAACTGATCCCTCTCTGCCAGAGCAACCCCCCTTTTCTCCCCCCTTCCCCTCCCGTCCTCCTATTCTAGCCCCATATAGCTACGCTGGTAGATCCACTAAATATCGTGATGCGCGCGTGAAACGCGTGCGTGAGTTCGACCATCGCAATGTACGCATTCCCCATACGTGCGCACATACACAACAGAGATTCTCAAACTTTGTGACATCAAGATCATGTAATATATAAATAACAAATGGTCAGGGAGTTATCCTTTAAATAATCAAGGATATTTATAACGTAAAAGATATAAAAGAAGAATATAAAATGCACTAAAAGTGTAAAAGGTACACAAGAGTATGATTTTTTAAAAATAAACATTCCTTTAACATCATCAAGTATAGATGTACATAACTTCTTCTGTGATTCGTAGATTCCACAGTCAGATTACAGAAGAATATTTGTATCTTTATTAATGCGTTGCAAGTCCTCGTCATCCTTCAGGTGTTTTCTATGGTTGCAGTTTGAGAAACGCTGATCTAGCCCAAATGTTCAAACAGTTCGTGCGTACGCGTTCGCACTCGTATAGGCGCAAACGTCTCGCGCGCCGTTATTTAACCAAAATTCGAGCGATAAAATGTCACGTTCTGCACGCTGTCTCTCTCTTTCTCTCCCTCCCTCTCTCTCTCTCTCTCTCTCGTGTTTATCCCACACCGGCCACCCTCGACCAATTCTGTTGCATTCTCGCGCCGGCATCGACTGAAAATGCAGCCACCGGACTGTATATCGCGATACGATCGCATTATAAGCGGCAAGCGCCGGTTAAAGCGATTACCGGCTGCGAGGCTGCATAGAAAAACCGGCGTTATACCCGATTACAATGTGACTGCCGTTTCGTGGCGATTCACGATTCGATTCGACCGCCAATCGGACTGTTACCTCCGTTCATCCCCTCGCTATCCGCCACTTTCGTCTCCATAGCGTCGATTATATAAAAAGCTCAGCGGGATTACAGACTAGCATCGCCCTGTTGAACGAGAATGTATCGCATGGCATCAAATGCGAAACGACTAGGTAACGGAGACGTTATACCGCGTGTGTGATACCGAAATAAAATTTGCTACTAACCTAAGGGACTAATGATCTTTCACAATCATCGAAGAATATATAGCGCCGGTTATATATAATCTTCACCATCTGATCACACACGGGTCGACGTAATCGATTATCCGCTTGCTTCTTTGTCACCCTATTACGCGGTTCAATTAATTGAATAATATTACACAAGATATATGATTATGATTATGACATTATTTATCTATATAGAAGCTTCTTCCACTCCAGTTCAATACTTGATGTGTGGCTTATTTTACTTGTAATATATATTTTCTATCTTATATTCGTCATATATGTATGTATTTTGTATAAACCGAGTAGAAACTGAATTTTTTTTCGAGACACAAAAGAATGGTATTTTATCAAAGTCGCGATTATTCGTTGCTACGATCGCGATTAATATAGGTCGATACGTTTCGGCAATGATTAATACGATTCTCGTAATCGGGAGGCGGTCAACAATCCGCACGGATGGACAGAGCGACTGCCGGCGTGATGTGATCGGATGCATTCGCGTGGCTCGAGGAGGGACGAGAGGGCAATCGACGGGACAGTAATATGGGACGTGTAACCAGTAGAGGGTTGGATCGGATCATGCCAGTCGAAGGACGCATATATCGCATATATTCGACGGGATTACGCAACGCGGTGCTCTCTGATTGGCTCTAATGGCTAGCGCTGCAAATGGCTCGACATCGTTATGGTTAGCTCGAACGAGTCCATTGTTGTACTTGAACACAATACACGTTGCGCATTATCCAGTAATTAGTGTGACCATTTCGCGGGAAGAAGTGATTCGCGGTCCTTAGATAAATACAAATGAATACACGAATAATAGCGTTGTCATTGCTAACTATGGTCATCATATAGACTATCAAAAAAAGTGAAAATAACGCATTGTTTGAAAGAGATTATTTCATAGAAAAATTACACTTCCCTCGAATAAACAATTAGAAGTGAATCTTAACGAAACTTTTTTGGTGATTATATAATAAAAATTATTCTCATGTACATTCGTCAGTGAACTCTTACCTGTGACCATTGCGTGAAGCTAAATGCAAAGGTGTATGCGGGAAGATCAAAGATGAGGAAGAATTACGAAGTGATTCGATTAATTCGGGGTGCGTTCGCACGAGTAACTCCACAGTTTCCAATCTGTAAGAAACGCCACGATTATATTACGATTACATGCTTATTAAATTTTGATATTATATCGATAATCAAATACAAATACTGTAAATATAACAATATCTGAAGAGCTGATATAGTCATATGCGCAATTTACCTGCCATATTGTGCAGCCAGGTCAAGCGCAGATTCTCCGCGGCTGTTACGGATACTAGGGTCGCATCCGTACTGCAACAGCTGTGCCACCACTTCCGTGTGCCCATACTGTGCGGCACAATGTAGTGCGGTTTCATTATCCTTTGTCTGTAACCAAAGTATTTAAAAATAATTTTTTTAGATACACAATACCTATTGATTTTCGTGATATCTCATTGAAATTAAATTGTATTCAAATTACAATATAGATTTGTAACGTGCATAAATAATTTCTTATGATTAATGAAAAATATATCGAAACTTTTTTTTCTTTCTTGAAATACATTCTGTCAAAATCAATACACGTGCTTATAATATCACAAAAGTTTCGTAAGATCAATACTAACCGCAAGATTCACTTTCGGTACTGACGGACCTTGGCTGAGAATTAATCGTACAATTTCCGCGTCACCCGCCCAAGCTGCCAAATGAAGCGGCGAGGAACCCTTAGCGTCAACGACATTGGTGGAAGCCTCATATTGGAGCAATAATCTGACCACGTCTCTGTAAATACCAATTTTAAAAAAACATTAGATTAAATAATAGATCGATTTAAAAATTTGACAAATAAGAGCATCTCTCAAAATTTTAATTATATTATAATATAGGTATATAAAAATATTACAATATATTTTTTTGCGAAAAGTATTCAAGATACTGTACCTGTGTCCATTCAAAGCTGCATGATGAAGAGCTGAGTATCCACTGGCATCTTGCACATTAGCTCCTGGTCCTCGACGTAAACTGTAAATGGAGATATTGCTCAATCGTACAATAGAAAAATCGTACAATAGAAAATTAACTAAAACTCTTGCTAATTATTATACATATAATTGTCGTAATTGATAAATCGCAATGGATAACTTGAATAACTTTGCAATGTATCTAAATTAGAAATGAGTATATAAATTCGAAAAAAAAATTTATAAAATATATTTTTATGCGAGGATTCACGAACTAGAAAATCAATCTTGTTTGCAACTTAAAAGGTTTTGACGCCTCGACATCGAATTAATCGTAATCCTTAATTTTGCTCCTAATATCCGTGATTTGAAGGAAGTGCGTGACTTCCGGCACATCATATACAGGCTCATAGGACCGAAAAATCTCGATATCGGCGAGTCGTAGACGGTTAGATGGTGCAATGTGCGCCGAGAACAGGCACGCTAATGAAGCTTCTTACGTCCAACACATGTTCTCATTACGCGCCTTTGTTGCGTTCGCGCGGAGATAAATGTCGCGCCCCCGCAAACACCGTGTAAACGACGGCTCCCTCGGGAAAAGCGGAAGAGACGCGTTATATAGCGCACGCTCCTCTACAGCGACTTATGACTCCCGCCCTCGTCGCCTTCCTGCTTCCTTTTATTGAATCGGATATCCAGATATTCCTGCAACGCTTTGCCCATAGAGGAATTTCTCGTTATCCCATCTCTCTCCAAGTGGATTTGATTGGAAGAACGAAAGGTAGAGCGGGGTCGGCAGCTATTCAGCCGCCCTCGAAGCGTTGAGTATCCGCGTTCAAAGGCGCTCGAATTGACTGGATTTCGAGAATATCCAGAAAAAGGGCCGAATAAAGTTTGTATAAAAGTGAATCCCTTTTTTTTTATTTTCACGAAGCGTAAGGATGAGAGAGAATTAACCGTCAAAATGAAAAAAATTTTAACACATAATCGAAAACAATTTTTTTAAAGCTTAAGTACAGTAAGAAATATTGATTATACAAACCAAATAATTAGTAATAATGACCGATTAATAAAAGCTGTAGTTAATAATATTCTCATTTCACAGCAACAGGATTCAGACAATCGTGTCATAATTGCGCTATCGTTAAATTAACATAGTCACCCGACGGTGTTTTAATGTTGCATACGTAATAGATTACTGCCACTACATAATTCATCCGCTTAATCATCCACGTCTTGGTATTTTCTTGATTCTACAAATATATATATATATATAAAGAATTAAACTCTAATATTATGAATGTTTAAAAAATAATAGAGTTAAAGATTATTTACAAGAAGAATGTATGAAACTTTAATTAAGCAATATCGTAACACATATATAGCCTTTGAGAAAAAAAACATAATTAATAATCTCCGCATACGTATAATCGATTATTTTTGTGTGTATCATCGCATCGAAATATATCTTAATGAGAAATGTTATAAGCAGCAGTAATATTGATCTTAGGTGACTAATAAATGTCATAGCTCAAGCACACGAGAGTACGATATTTGCACAGCTCTTCTATAACTTCGATATGAAGAGTGAAGCGCAAAAAAAAAAATATATATATATATACGGATATATGTTGCACCCTCAATCTATCGTTCAGAAAGCAAACCATTGAATATCAGAAACGGTAAATGAATTTTTTTTATCGAGACTCTAACATATAATAAATGTTACATTTGTGTACAACATGCGTATACGACAAAATATATATGTATATTCAAACATTCTACAACGCTTTGATATGCAAGGCAACTGATCAAACGTGATCATGCAGAGCGATCGATTTAATTGATAATTAAATTCAAAACGCAATCTATAATCAAATCACCGATTCCTATCACCGTTCATATTAGTTCCAAGCGATCTAAATCGCTAGAATCCGCTATCGACCGCAAACTCGTATATATGTGAGGGAATGCAGAGACTTTTCCCTCGTCAAGGGAGCGTATACACACATTTCAATCCCACACGCCCATGTGACGTCGCCGTCAAAGCATCGCGCTCAGTTTACAAAACAATTACGTAAGCGGGAGATTTTTTTTCCACCATGAGCGGTACATCAAAGCGCTTCGTCATTAACTAACGTCATCATTAACCCCTCAATGATACTCCGCACTTTAAATCGCTGACTTTCCGTAGACGGCACACGACGATCGACGTATAGGCTCTCCCTTTCGGCTTCTCAAGAAACTCTTGTGCCATTGTAATGGAGATCAAAGAAAATTGTATCATACAAGAGCGACATTACAAGTCTGCCAAAACGGGCGCGCTCGACTCAAAGAAAACTCGCGTGGCATGAATAAAAATAACGAGCATCGCTGACATCAAGAGAAGTATGCGTGTGATTTGTTTTCGAGCGTCTCTTATAGAGTGCATTTTTAATGATCGGTTTATCAACGATTAATTCTTTCTCTATTGCTAAATTTTTTCTTTTTTTTTTTTTTTTGACAGTATAATTTATAAGTTTCAAGTCTCTCTCTCTCTCACAATTTTTTTTCTTTATTAGCGCTTTATATCCCTATATTTCTCTTTCTCTCTCGATATCATCGAGCCGAGACGGGTATTTGTTTTCCGCGCCCTAACAACAACAAGGGTGGCGCACAATTCTTAAAGCTATACACGCTATATACCATCATGCGTATACGTTTCCGTATGTATACACGCGCGAAATGCACATACACGAACTATATCGGAATGACCAAGAAGCACTCGCGTGCCCGACCCTGGTTAGTGAAGAACATTTGACTCTCTTTTTCTACCCTCTCCTCCCTACTTCTTCCCCATGTCGCCCTTTCGCTTTTCGTCCGCCCCATTCATCGAGTTCATCCGCTCTCCCAAGTTCCTTAATTAAACCCTGAAGATTGTCTGCAAAAAGGACATCGCTGGTGCCTCGTCTCTGAACATTACGAATGAAACGACGAAGGGACAGATATATAGAGAGGGAAGAGGATAATCATTGGTGGAAAGACCGTCTGTCGGACACCGTATAATGGTAATTTCTTGTTGGTCTTAATCAAGAAGTTGCGCGATCGAAATGAATATCGTGGGTCAACTTTTAGTACTGTTTATATATATAAAAACTATATACGTGTAAATATAAACACACGTATATATAATTTAATATGTGTATTTGTAATCGTTTCAAGCCATTGTTTTTGTCCAACATGAAAAAAAACAATAAATATGCTTATATGATGCTTATATGAATAGGATATTTATATGGTATCGATGAACAACAGCTTTAATATGTTAATAGTATGAATAAAAAGTATGAAAAATTTTGCAAATATTTAAATAAATAATTGTAAATATATTTATAAAATACTCTCTTATAAAACTTTTATTTACACGAATACTGTAAACAAAAAATTTTTAATTTAAATTCCATAAACTTGTGCTGTAATATAAAGTGTAATATTGTTTCAGAAATAATGAGAAACCTATTTCATGAATCTTAATATTCCCATCGCAATTGCTACTGTATATTGTTTTAGAAAGAATAAAAACAGTATATTTATGTACATTACAATGAACAATGCAATTCGATAACGAACACGTTTGCGTACAAACATAATACATTAATGAATTTTCATAAATATCTTAAGAAAGACAAAGACAAATATAAAACGCGGATAAACGAACTTCTATACAGCTCTTTTCGATGCCGTGTGTGTGAGTATTTAGCGTGAACGCACCCTTCTGCCGGAGGCAAAGCATAGAGGAAAACTAGGCTGAGAGAGAGAGAGAGAGAGAGAGAGAGAGACGAAGAGAAAGAGAAAGCGATGACGATAGGAGGAAGAGACAGAGATGGAAAAGGAACGGAGAGGGAACGAGAGCGCGAGAGGGAAGCTGCGAGGGTGTATACGTGCGAGGGTGCTAGGGCATCAATCGATAGTTTCCTCCGGCAAAGAAGAGAGGCATGATACGCGCTGACGTAGCCGAACGTCCTTCTTCGAGAACACTTCACGACAGATGCTTTAAAAAAAGAGACTAAGCATTTGCATTTAATGCAGTTATACAGAGAGTGCTTTGAAAGCAGTAACAGTAAGTACTCTAGTCTCGAATAAATATGAACTTGATTTCGCTTCAATAAAGAACGGATAAAATATTATAATTCAATAATAAAAATATAACGTTGTTTATCCCGAACAGTGTGCATCATTGTAATATAATTATATTAATTGAAATATTTAATTAAAAAATAAATTAGGCTCATGTAAATTTAAAATCAATTAATTAATAATAGGCCAACTTAACGAGCTAGATTATTTATGTTTTTTTTTTATTAAAAACCATAGATTATATATTAATGAATGTGATCGATTAGAATTTGTCGAATTTTAATCTACGAAATTATATATATAGGTATGTATAATTCACGCTATATGCATATCGATCGTTCTTACGTTCCCTCCGCGAAACGAATTTTTTTCGTGGTCCTTTCTCACTAAGCTATGGTTAAAATTATCACACTGATACAAAGTCAATAGCGTGCAGCGAACAAAGGATAAACACATTCGCGGGCGCTCGTACATGAAAAGTGGTGCGTCCACTTCGCGATTAGCATCACAAAATATTCTTGGCTCCCCCGCCGAAGTGATGGGGAACGGGAACGCTCTCTCAGGGCGGTCGCGTTTTATATTGCTTTTCTGTGATCTCGACGAAGAGAGGGCAAAAAGGCAAGCGCGCGTCGGGCAGTGAAGAGATCGCGGAGCAGCGAGGAGAGATCGCGCGGGAGAACTTGCCGCAGGCTGGCTTTGTAGTTATGAACAAGTTGCGCAGCACCGACGACAGACACGAGAGACAATTCGTTAGAGAAGTGGCGTATTCGTCATGATACATTTAAGAATCACCGAGAGAATTGCCCCTCCTCTTTGCCGGCTTTTAAAAAAAAAGATGTGATGAACTGCAGCAAATCTTTCTTCCTTTTTCTTCAATTTTTATACATATATATAATATTTGAATTAAATATATATATATATATATATATTTAAAATTTATGATGAAATTTTGTCGCATTTTCCTTAAATTATTAATTTCCTGATAATGGTGATTTAGCAATAAGTAATTTTTTTTGCTTTTAAATATCAGGAAAGCTTAAGACTTTTAAGATTTAATTAAAATGTAATTGACATTCGAAATTTGATTTATTCGCTATTTATTTTCATAATTTGTTCTTTTATTTTAAACCTTTGCATTTATCTTGTTCTAGCAATAAGAGAGGAATATGAGGTCTGTGAAGCTGGCACCCCAAAATGCGAATTTTTACAAAATTAATGTGGTATTCGATTGGCCACAATTTGTCTATATTTGTCTATAGATAATCGTTTTAATCTACCAAAAAAATTAAAAATAAGAAAGAAATTTGGATAAATTTTATCATAAGCACTCCAAGATGCCAGATTTTTAAAAAAATTATATATATATATTTCGATTGCTCATCATTTGTCTACATTTGATCATAAATAATCGTCTTTTATCCATCTTACAAATAAAAATTAAAAATAAACAAAAAGTCAACAATCAATTTCATTATAAACATCCCTAAGTGCGATTATTTAAAAATTATATAAATGGGAGTGCATTTAGGATTACTCATAATGTATTCAAACTTTTTTTAATTTTTAATTTTTTTGCATGGTAAACAAAAAACGATCATCTATGAACAAATGTAAACAAATTGTGGACAATCGAATGCCATATCAATTTTGTAAAAATTCGCATTTTGGAGTGCCAACTTTACACACACACACACAGATGAGGTAAGTGTATATTTGTCGATATTCTTTATTTGCATTAATCTTGAGAGGGGACTTATTCCAAAATAATAAACAGGTTCTCTCTCTCTCTCTCTCTCTCATTTTTATTGCCACTTACCTCTTTGCATCGCGCGACGCAATGCGTGAATACACTCGTAGCACGTGCGCACGCACGCATGCACGCACGAGTCTCTCTCAAATTAAAAAAAAAAACGAAAAAAGACAAACTGTGAGCTTCTTGCGCCGCCGCCACAGCATGACTTAATTAATGGAAGGGCAAGGAGCGTCGACAAAGTGCGTCTTTGTTGAGAAGTTCGCGGCACTGGGTCAATAAAGAGCGCCGCCAGAATCGACGACGGTGTTTCACTAATTACGCGAGCGTCGCTCGCTCAAAACGACACGATCGGCAATCGTAGTGTAATTAAATGAAGCGAGGACACGACGCGATAATAAATTCATTTGGATTCGCTTTTCAGAGTTCGATCGATTCGTTCTACACGTCTGGTGATTATCAACTATTTATGTGCGATGATACTAATATTAAGGCTTCTTTATATAAATATCATATAAATAAATTTTAAATGATATTCTTTGTAATAATTAATATATATATTATATTTTTCCATCCCGTCACAATTCTATAAAATTTATTTACGAAAATCAAATACCAGCCTTATGACAGTTTTATAATTGCATGTATAATAATAAAGATAAAAATTTAACATGGAGAGTTAATTTAAAAATGTAATCATATAATGACTTTTATCAGTCGCACAAAATATATTGTATATATTAAAATAAATATCGGTTAATATATATGAAATAACTACTCAAGTTATAAAATTTTCACCATCGATTCAGAACTTAAATTGTATATAATTCTAAAATAATTATACGAACCTGAGATAATATTATGCGGGAAATGGAGCAATATAAATAGTGCTTTAGTATCGCGCAAATTGATGCGAATATCGCATCGCTTGATGGGCGTACGGCAGTGCTTGATAGATGAATGAAGGATTGTTTTATTCTGATTTTGACGATAATGACGACATTGCGTATACACCGGTCGTTAATTTATTTTCGCGCGAAACTTTTTCGTCGGAGCTCGAAGCGCTCGTTCACGTCTATCCGATTATTCGTCGGCGCGTTCTCGTGAATAAACGCGAAATTACGAGGCATTCCCACGGTAATACATGCGCTCGCGAAATCGTTTGCAATTAGCGTTAATTCATTCACGAAGGATTTAATAGTGCCTGCATCGCGTGAAAAAGTAAAACGGAACCCGATCACGGGTCTCTCCGTTCCTTCATAAGCAAGGCCTATCGTGCAGCATATCGGTGACCCTTGAAAATAAATAGCCGTTCGCCAAATAGATCCATCTATCTATCACCGCAAATAGAAAATGGAGCATAAGCGCAGTTGCAGGCAACGCTCGGAGATGCATAGAGGAGTGATGTAATACTACATTTTCATGTTTCACGCTCGCGATGAAACTTTACATTCTTAGATTTTTGCTCTTTACATGTATTTTTCCGTGTAACTAATTTCCAACTACGTAGAAAAAAATATATAAATGCTAAATGGTGTTAATTATTCTAAATTAGCAATCTAGAGAATGAAATACATTCATGTGGTTTCAGATAATTGATAGCAAAGTCCTTGCTCGTTTATCAACGCATTTGCATGAAACATCATCAGTGTATATGTATTCGATATGATGATTCATGGTCATGAAAATAGCGAACAAGACTGTTCAAACAAAATGCTCTGCTATTGATGTACATAATTATGGTCCACCATAGCTACGTTTCTAACAATAGAATATAATATATAATCGCTATAATCATTTTATTTTCATTATTAATGCCATAATAGTAATTACAATTAAATTGATCAGAATTAGATTATAAAATAATTAAATTGTCGAAATAAAATTAATATAACTAAACATGATTATATATTAAATTCTGTGTTTGTATATTATACAAATACAGTTTATTATATTGAATACGTCACATCAAAACATTATTTAATCGATATGTGAAAATCGAAACAGAACTCTCGATAACGCGGACGTGTTCACGATCGAGATTAAAGATGAAAACGTGGACAATGATAGTATATAATTAACGGTAGAACCGGATAAAACTAACGGCAGAGGAATCCTGGTTAATCGTAACAGCCGAGGATTAATCGTACGACGACGCGATATGTTCGATCGAGCGTGAGAGAATTATAATCAGAAGCGTCATCATAGAAAAAAATAAAATAGAAAAAAAAAGAAAAGAACGTGTATACTCATTCATCCTGAAGAGTCCAGTTACCTCGATCGCGTGAGTCACTTAATCGCCGCGGAGGAAAATGATTAAACCGAGCCAATTGTGCGTAGAGCAACGAGAGAGGTATCTTTGCGGCAACCTTATCGGCGAAACCGGAGCACGTCGAAACGGAGCACGAGATGTGCGGCGACGGTTCGATAATGGAATGCGCGAGACGACGTTTCGTGCCGACGTCGATTCCGGGCGAGACCGGAGACGGGTCGTGAAATCGCGTCCGAAAGCCGAGCATCGTCGATACGTAGAATCGAGTACGAAGGAGAATTATCTCCTATAATGACGAGGAAAGGCGGCGGCGAGCAAAAGTGTCAAGCTCGGCCGCAACCACAATGTGATGACACCCACCTTGCCAGTGGACCACTCCTCTTGGCTCGCTGACCGAGGATCTTCTCGACCACGGTGACGTTGCCACTCCTCGCTGCCTCGAGCAGCTCCTGATCCTTGCCCATAGTCCATTTACACCGCGATCAAGCCGCGATGTTCGCCCGCACACTTGTCAATTTGTGTTTTCACTACGATTACTCGCGTTTCATTGATCCAACGTAGCCATCTTGAATGAACTGACGCGCCGCCACTCGGCGACCTCGCGAGGCTACGCTTTACGAGAGATTCACGAGACTTACGTGAGCGCGAGCAGGAAAGTATTGAATGAATGGTGCGAGCGAGAGGACAAGAGTCTCGCACGTGACGCGCGCGCGAGCGCCTCGAATCGTAGTCGCGCCGAGCGGAGCCGAGCAGAGCCGAGCGCCGCCGAGTCCAGCGTGATAACAGCTGTTGCGCTGTACTGATTTTTCGTCGCGTCGAAACACCGGTTCGAGCCTAAATAGTGTCATTTCAGCGAGTAAATACGCGGTATATCCAGTGTGCGTCGACATGACACGAGTCGTTTTTGTCTTTCTCTCGGCTCTGGCGTTAATTCTCGATCAGGCGACAGCGTTTAATAATAATAATAATGCAACAACGAATCTCGAAGCTGCACCCGGTAAGCCCTAACCTCAATAATGTTTTGCAATCTCAGGCAACTTGTAAACTTTTTCGCAATTTGATTGCGTGTCAGGTGATTGTGTTCAATAAATAATAATTAATCAATTGTTTTACGATTGAGGTTTTTTTTAGATTTAAGCGTGCATCATACGCAGTTATTGCTAAACGGAATATATGTTCATGTCTTGTTAATATATCTTTGTTACAGAATATGACATGTATGTTTACTAACACACATATTCTGTATTTTTTTTGTTTTATTTATCTAAAACTTTTTACATCTAGTTATAAATTTTGTTTACCCACTCACTTGAAATTATAGGTCCTATAAATATACAAACGTTAGAGAAATATTTTATTTCTTTAATTATTTAAAAATAATCTCGTATGAGGAACACAATATTAAGGTAAATTAATAGGCTTTTCTTGAGCGTGTCAGGTGATTGCGTTCAATAAATAATAATTAAACAATTGTTTTGCGATTGAGGTTTTTTTTAGATTTAAGCGTGCTAAACGGAATATATGTTCATGCCTTGTTAATATATCTTTGTTACAGAATATAACATGTATGTTTACTAACACGCATATTCTGTATTTTTTGTTTTATTTATCTAAAACTTTTTACATCTAGTTATAAATTTTGTTTACCCACTCACTTGAAATTATAGGTCCTATAAATATATACAAACGTTAGAGAAATATTTTATTTCTTTAATTATTTAAAAATAATCTCGTATGAGGAACACAATATTAAGGTAAATTAATAGGCTTTTCTTGAGCTATAATAAGGACTTTATATTTTAAAAACACGATGTCATATAATTAAAGAAACATTAAATTGAAAACAATGATACGTTTCGCTTTAGAAGCTTCTTATTAATCCTTTGTGACCCAGTCGCAGATACAACTTTTGGCCATCAGCGGGTTGGGTATAATTAATTAATATTTATATTTTATCCGTATATTCGACGGAAACAAAAAAAATTTTTTTGAGACGAAACACGTCTGAACGCGTCAAAGAACGCTAACGAACTAATTAGAATAGACATTTGACATCTTTAATTCCGTTATTGGCGTTATAATATCTTTATATAATTATCATTATGTAACAACATATTACACATTTATATGTGTACGACTGAAGAAGTTACAAGTAAGTGGCGAAACGTATCGTTGTTTTCAATTTAATATTTCTTTAATTATATGACATCGTGTTTTTAAAATATAAAGTCTTTATTATAGTTCGAGAAAAGCCTATTAATTTACCTTAATATTTAATTTCTTATAGTAACGAAATATTACTAACACGTAATTATCTTTATCGTTAAGATTAATATAGAATAAACTATATAGAGGTCTTATATATCGTATTACAGATAATGGCGAAACAATAATATCTTTGTCGAATTATGCTAAAAACAACGCATTCAAACAACGAATAAATTTAATCCCTTTGAGCCCTTTAAAAATAACTGTGACAGATGTTCCATCGGATATTTGGTTTATTATTTTACAAATTCATACATTTCAATATAATGCCACGATATCTTACGACAAAACGCTGCTTGATAAAGTATCGAGCGGAAGTGTATTCGGCTCAAACATTGGTTTGTATTTAAAGACACATGATATAACAACCCCAACACAGGCATTTTTGAAGCACAATAACGTGCACAATCTCGATGCGTTACTCGTGATTGTCGGATATGATCGAAATGGTAAGTACGAATAACATTAATAAATAACTGACACATATAATTAATTATATGTTAAATATGTATTAAATATGTATATGTATTTTCCTTCCTTTTCTCCTCCCCTGTCTCTTTTTCTTTTTGCCACATTTTCCTTTTCCGGATAACATTTAATCGAATTAAATCTGACGGCACAAAATGGTGCCAATTAAAATAATATAAAATTAATGGCTATATTATAAGATAATTGTGTGCAAGAGAATATTATCTGCTTGATAAAGACCGAAAAATCATATATTATAGTAAATTAAATAGCCGTGTGTGACGTTGATGGCGCGATAGCATGAGTAAATCATACCAAGATATGTATTCGATTAATTTGCGATACATTTCCATTATCAGTCGCGTGTAAATGGGTTGAATAGCTAATCGTTTTCAACGTAATGGCAAAATTGGTTGAGTATCGAGAGAATCCACCATCGTCGTTCATTGGTCGATTATTGTTCTCCGCAGCGCCGATACCGGGTGGATGTAATATGGAATTCGATATTGAGGTTGCGCCGTATCAAAAGCTACATACGGGAAATGAAATGATAATAGTCGATGCACAACCAGCCTCGACGCTCGCTGATAACGAGTCAGCGCGTTGTGAAAAAAATCCGGTTCAACATAAAATGTACCGTCTTTATCTGCCCAGACGGGATTTCACTCCGGATACATATTTCGAGATGATCGCGAGTATGCTGACCACGCAAGACATTTTGCGGAATGGCGACGAGGTATTTTATGATACTATTCTGGGGAGATAAAATTTCGGTTCGAAAAAATTCGTTTTTATATAGCGTCGTTTCACTTAAGTTTAAGTCTATATCTATTTTGATGTGCATGCATTATAATTTAGAATGGAGAGATCTGCAACAACGATTATCTCGATTGAGGCAATTAACACAGATTATTTATCGAATCTTTGCTATTATTACCATAAAATACACTTGATTTATAATTGTAAAAAAATTAACGTATATATGTATGATTAGAAATATTTCTTGATAGATACCAGCTGGTATAACGAGTCCTATGAAACGTATTTATAGTGCATATACTGGTACAGGATCTATTTATGTCGCAATTGCCACTTATGGTGATAATTCTTCGGCTTATATTCCAATCTTTACATATGGTTGCAGTCCTTTGGTATATCCGGAGTCTTGTCAAGTTTTAAGTATGTTTTTCACAATTTTTTAAGACAAATATTTCAGCATGATAATATAGTGAGTCGTACTTGAAATGTTACAATATTCCTGTACGAGATATGTATATATTTCACAGTGATAAAATTATTTTTTTCTATGAATCAATATTGCAATTCTTTGCTATATCCGTAGATTTATCAAAAAGTATGTTTTATTTCACAATTTTTTTAGGACACATTTCAGCATGATAATATAGTGAGTCATAACTTGAAATGCTATATATACCATATATATATATTTCTATGCGAGATATGTATATATTTCACAGTGATAAAATTATCTTTTTTTTATAAGTCAATATTATAATAATAGAGGGATTATTTCGAGACCAATAAATTTTTTTGAAGTTTCTAACGAAGTATTCTCAATTAATATTACGAAATTGTACACGTATGTCTTATAAATTGTTCAAATAATTGTTTAATCGTTCTTTTAGATGGCCCGTTTGCAAAGATTATTTGCGCGTTCGTTCTAATCATAGGTATTCTTTCAATTCTTATTGGACATAAGTATCCTTCATTAGGTCATGTAATATCGAGTTGTACGATGGGTGGTATTCTCGGATATACTTTAGCTGTGGCCATCAGTGATTACAGCACTGCAAGTAATTATATATCAGCTTCTGTATTAAAAATTTTAACGAAATGATATATATTAAATAAATAGCTTACCACGTAGGTTTTCATCGTTGTTTTTTGCAGCTAACATTTTGATAGGTTCGGCATCTGCCATTTTGGCCATCATCTTATCGACAGCCTTACGTAGTTGCGAACGTTGTACGTTCCTACAAACTTTACCATTGGGATTTCTCTGTGCGTGCATCACATACCTCTACGCTCCAGGTACATGTTACATTTTATACAGCATCGTGTTTTATAAAATTATTACAAGACGTAACACGGGTAACTAAACGAATAAGAAATATAAGTTACTTTATGCGCTCGGTTTCTTCTCGGAGATGGTTTTTGTATTTAATTTTTTTTTTCCACAAGTTAATTTATTTCCTAGCCATCGTCCAATATTATTAAGTCTAGTATATCTTTACAAAATACGACTCAAGACAGTAGCGTACGTTCAAAGCGAAGGCGGGAGAACCGTAGCCTCTCCACTTTCCGCGATGCTGTTGCGAAGGGCTGTTGCGAATTATAGGAAAATAATGAAAGCCAGGCTTAAAAGCGGAGGGATAGAACGCGCGACCGGCGAGTGGGAGAGCACCGCCGCTACCCCGAAGTTAGTTCGAGTTTGGCGAAGGGATGAGAGAGGCGCACAGTCAGTTTCTCCCCGTAGCTTCTATCAATGCTGGCCGCTCATGTGGAAACCTCGCCCGTCGAATCCCCCCATGCAGAAGCGGTATAGCGCATTCACGTTGCCTCCCACCTTTCTCACCATAACGCCGCCAAACTCACCCTTTGCCACCCTCGCCCAAGCACGAACGCAAAAATGCGTTCGCGGGATTGCACACGCACATATACGCGTACATATACGCACATCGGTCTCCCTTTCCACGGTGCGAACTCCCACGGCACGGTATAACCAGCTTGGAAGATTCGCATTTACCTAATTGTGTCCCCGTATTTATTCTGCTCCGGGACCTATTTAGATTACACGATGCGTGCATACGCAACTGCACGGCGATCTATCCCGTCGACAGATGATCGCGATCGTTGTTTACTTTGACCGTCCGGCACGTCGACGTTAAAGCGCACGATTATGCTGTAACGGAAAACATCCGCTTGTTCGTTAATTAGATCGTCGAAATTTTCGCGCGCGCGATATTGACATACGTTGAAATTATTCCGAGATCAAAAATGAGCATTATAATTTATAATTTGTTGTTTTTTCTCTTATAGCATATATGTTCTATGTTCTGGAGACTGATTGGCTATTCTGGCCTATGTTCGTAAGCCTAATGCTTGTAATAGCTATGTTTCTGGCAAAAATGCCCTACATCGCAGAAATAATCACGCGTGTCGTTTTTGGATCGTATTTCCTGATTGTAGCTATTGATTATTATGCCGGAAGTAATTTAAAATATATTATTCTCACTTTGATCAGAAGAGTCACTATATCTGAGTTCCGTTTAGCATTCGTATATCCGCCATATCAAAGTGCAGGTATGTATCCATATGCTGCTTTTCTTGGTGTAAAAATAATTCAACAGTATTTTATTCAGATTAATTGTTTTCAGATGTTACCTTGACAATTATTTGGGCTGTGTTGATAACAGCGCAATTTATTATTGGGTTCGTCAAATTGTGCAATGAACCTTCGCCTATGACTGGATTTTCAGAAAATACAGTCACAACATCTTTGTTGTTCCCACACCGACTAACAAACTCTGACAACCCTCGAATGTATCAATATCTTCACCCAAGATATCGACACAATACAACATGACAACATATAACAACATATATACATAAATATAAGAACACATACGTCAATATCATTTATAAACTATAAGATATATATATATATATATGTATATTATAAGGTTCCTTAAACTTGTTAAGATTTACTTTTTATTTTTATACTGGATACCAAAAAACAATGACTTGTGTCTGTTAAATTGTACGGATAAATAGATAAATATATAAGTATAATACAAACCTGATGTACTCTTTGTTCGTATTATTTTGTGCTAGATTAATTTTGTGTTAGGTTAAAAAATATAATATTTGCATTAATTAGAACATAAGATTATATGTGACCATGATGAACAACATTTATATTTAACATGTAAATCATATTTTTTGTTTATTTTTATTTTATGTCAGTTATTGCGATGTTTTTCATTTTAATTTAATTTTATGCAAAGCGTATGTTTTGAACTAATGTAAGACATAACTGTGAATAATTGTGAATTGCAGGTAAAGTTGTACATCATGGTAAATATTTTATTGTAATATTAAATATATTTTTTTTATATCTTCTAATATATATATTTTAGCTCTTTCTAATATATTATGTAAAAACTTATGTCTGTATAGGGCAGAAAATGTATATCAATGTTATGAATAATAAAGTGAGATGATTTGGCATTAAAATGAAATAACATTTATTGAATCGAGATAGTGACACCTAACAGTTCTCTATTTCCTACTACTTACAATCTTAAAGTTAATCACAGCAACAATATTATCTCATTATTCACAACACTTACATAGATTATACTGTCGTAATAATATATTATTCTCATTAATAAATTTATTAATACTCATACACTGTTATTAGAGTAGTAGACTATTACAGATAATAAGAAAGTCGCGTAACCACTTCCGCGTAATGTTTGTTGCATAACGATTAAAGCATAATTCCGCTGAAACGCATTTTACATGCATAAAATTGCGGTAACGTTCAGTTCGCAAAAATTCTATGGAATTCGTAAGGGTAACATAATAAATGAGAATCACTTTAATCTACTTTTCGCGAAATGCACAGCCTGTTGCAAGTGCAGCTCCTGTTTGTAGAGAATCCCTCATGGAAACGTGTATGATATGCGACTTGCAATTTAAAATTATTCATGGATGCATACTGAATTCGTCTCAAAGTACTTTTTATATACATTAGTAGTGGTAAACGTCGATGAAAGTGTTACAAATATTTTCAGATTTTATTTTTTTAATTTAATAATTTCGTCTCATTTTAATGAAAAAAAATTATAAGTCGTGAAATAGCATATTTGCATATGACATCCAAAGTTTCGATAAATTTTATTTTTGCTCTTTTGAAAAGAGACAGATTGAGATCAAAGTCTAGAATAAAATATACATATATAACTTGAAATATTAATAACACTAGGATATGCCAAAATATAAAAAGAACGCAAAATATTACAATTTACTACGAATCTTCATCATTCTGTGGATTCTCTGAATTCTGAGCGCTTTCATAACTTTTCTTATCTGTTTCTTTCTCTATCTTATTTTTTTGAAATTATATAATATAGCAATATTTTTAATACAAATAACAAAATTATAAAATATTTTTAAAATCTAACAAAAAAGATGATCTAAAAAATTGTATGTGCAATTTAATAATGACAAAAATTATTTCAAATATACAAATATGTTTTTACATTAGAAGAAATTTGTATACAACAAGAGAGGAAGTGGCATCGACAGATCTAAATAAAAATTGTTTCGAACTGAAGATATAAATCATCGCGAGATTTTAAAGCGGCGGCGTCTAGATACACCGAAGATTTTCCACTTTTAGATTTCACGCTGCTTTTTGTTTTTCGTTTTCTTCCAAAAATATAAATTTACTAATATACAGTACACACACCATTTCCCCGTCAAGTGCTCTTCACGTACAAACGTTACACAAGTTTACACGAGCTCTACGTGACTGTAAACGACAACGAGAAACGAGCGGCGCTCTTCTCTGGGTAGTGTAACTTTACATACTTCACACGTTACTGTTTAAAACAACTGTATATCGTCCATGTTTATCTATTGGCTGCTGCTTAATCGTAGAATTCGTCACCTACATTTATTACGGTGCGCGTGAGCATTGTCGATGAAACGATTGTTATGCGTTATCGAAAAAAAAAAAAAAAAATTAAATACTTGAAAATATTCATATTGCAACAGAAATATCGGAAATGATGTGTCCCCTGAAAAAGCCTGTCGAGTTCTGGAACGATAAAATTCGAAAATATGTCATTCACTATTTTCACGCCGTTTTTTTTCACATTTACGAATCAGTGACTAATTATTCAACGCGATCGTGCGGCGCGACTCAATTACTAAAAACGTGCTACATCCCTGGCAGCTGGTGATCGAAATGCATCGGTTAAATGTATCATTCATACATATATCCTGTCGAAATACAATAAGACTGTGATGCAAGTGATTGGCATCTCTTCTTGCAATTTAAAATTATGTCGTTATTTAGTTTATCAAGCGCATGATAAAATTGTTAAATTTAATTTGATTAGTAAAATTACGGCTATAAAAATTCCACAATATAATAATCAATATGGCACTTGTAAAAAAGATTATAATTATACAAGTACGAATATTACAATTGACTTGTACACATAGGTATATAAATCGTGATATATTACGTAAAATATTTTTTTGTATTCTTGTTGGTTTATTTGATATCTCTATATAGTGAGGTTCGTTCCAAAACTCGTTTTTGGACAAAAAAATTCATACAACGTGTTTCGCAAAATGATAGGTGAATAAATGTAGGCTCAGATTATTTGATTTTATTAAAGTTCTGCTGCTGCACGGTGTAAGTAACGGAATCGTCACTTTAGTGAGGAAAAACATTGAATACACGGATAAGATGTTGCATAATCTATAAGATGGGTACGTTTGAACGTAACTGGAATTTGTATGACTTACGTACGTGTATATATACAGCGATAATTATTTCTAATTTACAGTACTGATCTAAAGAGAGTAACAAATGCTATCTTACAGTCATCTTTATACAGCATAATCGAAAGTATGTGCTTCGATCGTATATGTGCGGCGACGTTTAACGAGTTTTGATGCCGATGAAATTTTTCTCGTTACTGCGAGCACCAATGTATCTTTTTATTAGCGATCCGCTCGGAAGAACGAATCCGCCTCGTCGGTCGGTTAATTCAGCAATACATTTACATTAATAACAATAAATACCGACGTGAACGTCCATGCTACTTGCCTCCTTTGGGCGTTAATGCGTTACACTTATGAAATTTCTCTATAAGTTACGTCGGTTTATTTTTTTTTTTTTTTTTATAACTTCGTACGTCACTGTGCTTTCATTATGGTAATAACGATGGTATAAGCTATGGATTGGATTGTCTTAATCTAGAATCTTCTGTGTATCTTGGATCGGGATAAACATTCTTATGGAGAGACATGTATTATAAATGAGGAGTTTAAATCGAACATTTCAATCTGCTGTGTAGTTGTTCGTAAATCTGTCAAATAGTTTACGCGAGGTTTAGAAAAATGCTATTCGCGATTGCTACGTCAAGGAGATCTGAAACTTTAATATTGCCATTCTCGATATATTCTGCACACTGATATCTCGAGAGATATGAGAGAGGTTTCACTATATTTATAATATAATTCAAAAACGCACATACGCGGGCGACTCTTGCATTTGCGTTTTCAGTTACATTTGCAAAACGCGACGAATCTCAACGTGAAGAACCATCTATTAATAATAATAACATAACAGTAATAATATCTTTATTAAGTGCAATAAATAAATATATACTCTACAATTTAAAGGAGAGAAATTAATTTTCCTTCTTCAAAAAGAATATAAATAAAATATATATGATAAATATATTATAAATATAAATACATACGTACAAGTGCTCCCGTTTCTCCGGATATATATTTCTTTCTGGCATCTTTTCCTCGAACTGGTCGTCGATCGATATATACCGTTCACAAATGGACGTAGACAGGGGCCACGCGAGAGTGGTGTCTTCCGACGCCATATCTGCCGGCAGACACGATGGCCGGCCTCGCCGAAAAAAGCTACCCTCCAGGCAGCTATCAACCCTCGCAACCGTTCCCTCCCGCAACGAAATCAGCCTCATCGGGAAACTACCACCCTAAACTCTCGCGAGAATATATTTCGGCGGGCGAGCCCGCCTACGTGTCTGCGGCTCCCTTTCAATTTCCACGCGTTCGCGGCCGCCCTTACACGAAGGAAAATATTTGCCGGAAACCGATACAACATGCGGCAAACAATATGCACTCGGTGGTATCCAATAAATCCGGTAATAAAGCTCGCCGATGCCGAAAAACGAGAACGGCTGTAAATTTAATGAACGCTCTTGACATCGATCGACCTTCGGGAAAAGAGAAAAAAAATTTACGCAATTTATTGAAATAAAAAAAAAAAAAATGACTCCCATTACGACGCTCGTTAAAGAGATTCTTTCGTCATTGGTGGTTCTTCACGTCAAAGTCCTTGACATAATAAAGATGGTAACGTAACGTAAATCACACACACTATCGTGAATAGGTAAGTACCCTGCGTGACCCGGGTCATGCGTATATATCTACGAAATCTAGATCAGACACGAAGTGGAAGATGGGTAAAGTCGATTGGTTCCAGCTCGAATTATAAAACTTATTGTGCTCGCTAAAATTCCGCTCTGCAATCGAATCGTTGGTAAAAAAATCTTTTTTCGTTCGATTTCAAAGAGAAGTTAATTGCGACGAGCTGTTGCTGCTTTTTTTTCATGCAAAAATTTCGCGACGGTACACTCCATTACGATCGTCAATGCGGGCGTTGGCAAACTTACAAATTGTTCAAGAGGGAAGGAATCTATTCTATCTCCTAATCTAATGGAATAGTTTCATAGATAGGTATTGCCTTTCAGAAAATTGACGGTCGTAAACAATCGAGGACGCCAGTCGTTAATCCGGTTTGCGAAGAGCTTTTATACGATTAATAATATCAATTTCAACGAACAATTAGATATTTGTCCCAATCGGAACATGCTATCAAGTAGCTGCCGCTTTATTCATCGAACACGCAAACTTGATAATGTTCCCCATAAAACTGTTTTGCCGAATCGTTAATATTCGTTAATGAAATAAATTACCGCGACAATATAAACGAACAAAATTATTTAACTTACAAGACAAACGGAGAGAACATGTCAGACACTTGCGTCATCGTTTGGGATTAAGTTTATTCGACGCACAACCGACACTAAAACTGCGCGTCTTCGATACGATCGGCGTTCGCGCTGTCAAAAAGCGCAAACTGTCAAACGAGCCTTCTCTTCGTAGCGTCTCTTTCCCCCATTATCCATCTAATTGTGGCGTCGCGGTTGATGGCGACGAATCGCCGTCGGCGACCAAGCGCAAGAAGGACACCTCTCTCGTCAATCAAGGGATCACTGCGCGACGGAGCACGTCACGAGAAATCTCAATCGTTTCACTCACTGGTGTCGGAATTGTGCACGGGAGTGGTCGCCGGTGTGCTAGGGGCCTGATGCTGCGTCGACTGCGTCGGTATCCCGAGGGAGGCGAGGAGCGGTCGGGATACTGCGCCCGGGGTGACGCTCGGCGGCGGCGGCGGCGGGCTCTCCTGGCCTACGAGCAAGCTCGCGGGCGGGAACCCGAAGAGCTGGGATCACTGGAGCCTCGGCCAATAGTTGCCCGTCAGGTCCGGAGTCTGCGAGGGTATCTGCACCGGCACCGAGACTCCCGCCGATATCACTCCTGAAACAATTCGAGCCGTCGGAGGATTGAGCGCGCGTTGCGACGGAACGAGAACTGTCGAGGAAATTGAGCGACGAGATAAGAAGTTGCTCTCGCTCTGTGAACGCGCGGGTGAAACATATCAAGAACGGATTGGGCCGTATAGCATGCGAGTGCAAGAGGCGGAAATTTAGCTTTGTTACGGTACCATATATAGCCATATATACCATATATGGTTTGTCATATCGCTAGTTGATCATCATTCTTGATTAAGGAAACTCGTGCAATTTTAATGACTCGCGACGGCCGCGAGTAGAACGCGTCGTTAATCGCGCGAAACGCAGTAATCGCGAGACTAATTTGCTAAAAACGACCGAGTACGTATTTACGGAAGACGACGCGAAGTGCACTCGCAAGTATCGCCCATAGCGACGGTTGCATAAATAGGATTCGGTTATGATAGCGCGCGACGGCTTCGTACACTTCTGCAATTTGAATTAAACACCTTAACGAGCTGCGTCTAATCCAATATAAACTTCCGCGAAAACATTTACACTCTATGCAACCTCGCGCGTCGTAACTTCATTCCTCACGTAGGCTATAATTATGACATAAATGCAAAACAGGCAATTTGACGAGCCTTACAACGAGGATGCGTCCCATGATTACACGTTAACCGCGTAACCTACCTTATTCGATATATTAACATGTCGTGAATATCGATATACGCGGCGCTACGATAAAGATGTAATCTTATATTATCTATTTCTCTACGCTTCTGAAATTTCATTCCGCCAACAGCGTGTAATGTCGAATCAAGTTTAATTCATACAAGTCTCGAAATTATAACTTCTATTTAGTTCGCGCGACTTCTCAGAAGGATACATCCTCGCAGACGCATTCTATTGCGTCTTAGTAATCTCCAGAAACTTCATCTTCGGCTTCATACCCGACGAACGCTGTCACTTTGATGGCGGAGGGATTAATCGAATATCCGTGACTCTCGTTCATCGTTCCACCAGCTGCGAGACAACTCGCGCGATTACGCTCGTTTCCGCGGTTCGAGCCCTCCTCCGCTAACTTCAGGGAGACGGCTACTTAGCTATGAAAACGGCGCCGTTAGAATCGTCGCGCGGTGCTAACGAGCGCGGTGAAAGTCCTTACGGCGCTCGTGCACGTAAAGCGATTATGATGGATAACCCGCGGCTCGTTCCGCACGTAAGGAGCGGGAACGTGCGGAACGGTGGAGAGGAACAGTGAGAACACGACGGGGGAAAGAGCGGAAAAGAAGAAAGGCGGCGGAAGAGAAGAGTGCGCGAGGGACAGAGCGGAGTGGGACACCCTGCCTGCCTGCCTGCGCGCGTGTTTCGCAGTATTCCACCATTCCGGCTTGCGCTCCGCTCCGTTCCTGTAGATACGCCGCGCACCCCGTATTTCCTCCCCTTTGGGTTCGCACGTTATTGAGCGCTCGCCCAGCCGAGGCGAGACCCAACCCATCCACATCCTCTGTTCACCCCTGTATATCCTCAGGAGGGAGAGGAAGCAAGAGAGAGAGAGAGAGAGAGAAACGAAGAAAGAGATGAAAAGGGGACCCGGAGGGTGACGAGAGGGACGGATAGACACGAAAGAGTGAGCGCACCCTCGAGGGTTGAAAGGGATGAGAGAACGAGGCGGTGCGAGAGGAGGCGCGACCCTCCGTGGCTTTCGCTAAACGAGAAGCAAGGGGATGAGATGTGGAGAGATAGACGGAGAAAGAAAAGAAAGAACCGAGGCGGAGGAGCCGAGCGTACGTAAAAAGAGGGAGAGGGTAGGAAAGTTGAGAAAATGGAAAATTCACCAGCTACATCGGCGAGGTTGGAAAACCGCCGAACATCCCATTCTTCGATTCAGCCCAGCGGCGCCATGCGAGATTTGTTTTAAAATCCTTTTACAATTCCGTGGGCGACCGCGTCGTTGCCCGCTCGCTCTTCATCATCCCTCTCTCTCTCTCTCTCTCTCTCTCTTTCTGTTAGCAAGACTATGTAGATTGCGTGTGAAGAGGTGCTCCCAGGTAATTCTCGACGCTTTATTTCGCGCTTTGAGCCGACTAAAACATGGGAAAGAAACAGCGGCTGTGCGAAGCGAAAATTGGAAACCAAAACCTCTATTGGTTTTCGGCATTGGATTCGTTCGTTTTGCCATTGCCTCTCTTATTTGTCTCTTATTTCTATTTGTCGTATATTCTCGAATGTTCAACGTGAAGCAATTTTCAAATAATCGAATATAATTAAAACGTCAAAAGATATAATTTGAATATTGGAAAACCAAGAAAGAAATTTAGCTGCAAATATTCAGTTAATATTCATATATGAAAAAGCTTTAGTGCTTTTATACTAGACGGTAATTATACAATATAAGAGTTTAAGCGAATTAAAAGAACTATAACAAAATGATGAATAAAAGATAGTTAAACACAATTAAATCTGTTGAATGGAAGAAAATTTCGCGCGGAGACAAATATTCACGCGAGGTTCGATTTTCGCCTTTGATAAAAGAATGGAGCACTCTCCGAATAACAAATCTATCGCTATCGATACACTCAAGTTTTGGGACGCCACGCATATCTCCTAAGGTAGATAAATGTTTACTGCGCTTTAATGCAAACAATGTTATATTATTACTAAGTAACCTTGAAAGCGAGGAACGGGACAAATTAGGCGAGAACTCACCAGTCGCGGTCGAGGTCGTCGGCTGATAGGGTGCTCCACCTGGTCCGGTAGGTTGTCCGCCTGGCGTCGTGGGGGTGCCGCCGTGAGACGTCGGGATGCCACGATGAGGTTGCGAGTGCGCGGCCGCGGCCGCGCTGTGCGCGTGAGAATAGGACTGCGTGAGCGAGTGAAGAGGCTCGTGAAACACGTACGCCGGATAGCCTTCGGCGCGTTGCTGAAGACAGCTTCCACCCATTGATCCGCCCAGACTGCTTGACATCGAGCTACAGGGAAGAAAGGGAAACGATGGATTTCGGCAATGCAGGGTCGATGCATTTTTAATTACAATCTACCGAACAGTGAATATGAAGGAAACTCTTTTATTTTGCAAGATATTGAAAATTAATATTGCTAGAAGAAACAATTCTTTTTGAGGAAAAGATTGAACGAAAGTTCAGTTTTCACAAGGACGATGAATATCACTGTTCACCAATTACTCACCGAACAGGAAACTTTTATTTTGCAAGATATTGATTGCTAGAAGAAACAATTCTTTTTATTGGTTCAGTTTCACAAGGACGATGAATATCACTGACCGAACAGTGATATGAAGGAAACTCTTTTATTTTGCAAGATATTGAAAATTAATATTGCTAGAAGAAACAATTCTTTTTGAGGAAAAGATTGAACGAAAGTTCAGTTTTCACAAGGACGATGAATATCACTGTTCACCAATTTTTTTAATTACAATTCACCGAACAGTGAATATGAAGGAAACTCTTTTATTTTGCAAGATATTGAAAATTAATATTGCTAGAAGAAACAATTCTTTTTGAGGAAAAGATTGAACGAAAGTTCAGTTTTCACAAGGACGATGAATATCACTGTTCACCAATTTTTTTAATTACAATTCACCGAACAGTGAATATGAAGGAAACTCTTTTATTTTGCAAGATATTGAAAATTAATATTGCTAGAAGAAACAATTTTTTTTGAGGAAAAGATTGAACGAAAGTTCAGTTTTCACAAGGACGATGAATATCACTGTTCACCAATTTTTTTAATTACAATTCACCAAACAGTGAATATGAAGGAAACTCTTTTATTTTGCAAGATATTGAAAATTAATATTGCTAGAAGAAACAATTTTTTTTTTGAAGAAAAGATTGAACGAAAGTTCAGTTTTCACAAGGACGATGAATATCACTGTTCACCAAGTTATCAAACGTGTCCGATATCTATTCTTGCGTGTAATTTTTGTATCTGTGAAACAATGCTTTATCGAAATTCTCCTACCTATATGTGTCGGGCATGGTGGCGATTGGTTGCGGTATCGACGAGTACATGGCGTTGAATCCGGCGTTTAAGGGCAATCGTGGTGTTGCAGGGGTGGCCGCGGGAGGCGCGGTGCCGCTGCTACCTCCGCCGCTGCCGCCAGCCACCACCTGATCGACGGCCGCCCTCCTCTGGTTCCGTAATTTCTCCTCTCGACGCCACTTCGCTCTGCGATTACTGAACCACACCTGCAACCGACACAATGACGGTGCCTTTGTCACGATAAGTGTGCAGCCGCACACTCGGCGCCGCCGACACGGTATCTCGCATCATTCGCACTCGTCCGCATTCGCACTCATTCGCGCTCCTCTGCTTCCTCCCCGAACGGAACACCCTCGCATCTTTCCCCGAACCATTCCGACGCCTCTCTCTCTGTTTTTTTTTTCTTTCGCAAACCTCTCGTGAACTTTCCGAGACAGCGCGAAATCTAGCGCCCTAGCAGACACTCCATCCCGTTTTGTGAAACGGCTAGTTTTGCGAGACGCTCCTCCAATTTGTTAATTGCGATTGAGCAGTTGTCAGACGGGAAATTGAGTTACTCTTGCTCGCTTGGTCCCTTTTCGCTATAGCACGCTTTGCTCTCGCGCATATTCCTCTATCTGTCACCCCTTCGCGTTGTCACTTACACGTGTCTCTTTTGAAGCGCCTGATTATACCAACCGCATCAAATCCGATATTCAAAAAGTCTATTGTAAATAATGCAATAGTTGTAATCGCGCGAGTCTCAGATTAATCGTATCGATTGGAAAAAAGGGTCCTCGATTATTTCTATCTTCAATGCTATTAGATCTTTAAAACGTCGATTAACTTTAACCTTTATGACCCATTGTCGACTTCTTGTCTCTTTGCAGAATTATAATTAGAAGAAGGTAAAGAATACGTCAGAAGATGATACAAAAACGTTTGTCTCAAAATAATAAAAATAGTAAAGGATTAATAATAATATACCGTCAACAATAGTTCCTTCATTATGCGTGGTATCTTAAATGACACGACACAAGCTCGTAAAATAAATCGAGACTCAAGTTCCTTGCAACGCCTGCACGGATTTCGTGATTTTTGTGATTCTCTTCAACGATAAGAGGATTTGTCCCCTTCAATATATAGGTTTTCCCTCGCTGGCGCTTAGAACAATCCATGAACCGTGCATTTGGCTTTCTCGTAAAACCTTTTTTTCTATGTGTACACTGCAGCAATCGCGTATTCAGTCGCATCAATTTCACGGGCAAACAGTTAATTCGCTATGCTTGCTCAAATTGTTTTTACGGGTAAAAAAATATTTTAATATCATTATCTATGTTATCAATTTACCTCTTTTATCGAACATTATTGTCACAATTTTTTATTCATTAATTATTGTATTATTTAATTAGCGAATATATTGTGCAACATTTCTATTCATGCAACCGATCGAATCGATCATCGATCGAAGAAGGGAGAAAGAGAGAGAGAGAGAGAGCGAAAAAGCCCGCTGCTAATAAATTATATTTAATACAGTCGGGACAAGTTTTCGAAAGGGAGATTTACATGTTTTCGCATGCTACTGTGTACGCGGGTAAAAATAGAGAACAAAGCAATAACGACAATTTCCATTCTTGTCGATTTTGGTGTAACGAATTACCGCGTGTGCGATACGGAAAAAAAGGGGGATGTTTTTCGCAACGGAAAGAAATGCCATCAACGTAGAAATACAAGCCTTCCGCAATCTCACGTATAACATCGCGCGCTACGAGCATGACGAGGGTCCTCGATTGAATCAAAAAATAAATTCCATCCTCCTGTCCTCCCGTTGGGCGCAGCAAATCGTGTTCGACCATCCCACCGTCAAATATCTGCCATTCGCCCGCAGCGGGTTTCTTCCGCCCAATACCATCGTCCCTCGTAAACTCGTCCTCCCTCATTCCGAAAACTCGTCCGAATCGATCCGTGCGAAAGTCTGTGATCCGAACGTGCCTCGGTGTTACTCAAAGAACGCGGTCTCTCCGCCGAGCATCATCAATGGCCGAAATATATAGAGGAGACCGACCGGTTCCCGACACCGGTTTCCGACCTTGAAACTTTCCGACCTTGGACATATTCGCGATGCGCCAACTGGAAGCGCAAAAATTCGTTTGTTTGCACGTCTCATCGTCGCTTGCTTTCGGAAATTAGTGGAGCATGTGACACGTCGGCTTCGCGAAATACCTACTTTTTTTTTCCCCCCCAAAAAAGTGACGATTTTAACAACAAATTCCGCAGTATCTAATATCTCAACGACTTTGCGCTTCGTTTTTTGCGTTCGTTTTTTACTTAGCGCCCTCGAAAGCGTATATCGGGGAAAAATCCCGTTTTAATCCTCGTGTAGCGTATCGGCCATCGCGCTCGCACAAGTCGACTTAGGGAACGCCGAGGACGATAATCGGCCGGCGACGGACGTGCCAGCAGCACGACGTGGCGAATCTCGTGGCCGTGGTCGGGATATATAGGTGGAAAACCGAGGGCCAATCGGAGGGCGACCTCCCTCGGGACCCGACGTTGCCATGGTTGCGTCCGAGAACCCTCTTAGGCCTTCCGCGCGATCCCTCGCGGCTCGGGCGGGTTGCGTTTACATGCCGCGCCATGCCGCGCCAAGCCGCGCCAAGCCGCGATGCGCGTTACGTTCTGTGTTCCATTAGAGTGCCGGCACTTCACTCTTCGCCGTTATTCGAGGATCGTCCGCAACGATCCATCGGTCCGACTCTCCCCGCGATTCTCTTTCACCCTCTTCAGCTAGCTCGACTATCTTTTTCTGTTCCTCCCTCTCTCAGTTCCGTTCACTCGGTCTTCCTTCATTTTCTCCATTTCTCTCTCCCTCTTTCTCTCCCTCTTCTCCTCGTCGAACTTCTCCTTTTCCCTCTCGCGCCGGAACTCCCGGTTTCCTGCACTTAGCAAGATCAATACCAGCCAACGAGGCTTGAAAACATGCGTCAACATGGTCTTGCACTGTTTGTACGTCCACATAACGCTCAGCGCGCCCGGTTACTACCACCACACCGAACCCCGCCGGCCACTTCGCCGACCCTCCCGTCTCTTCATCGCGGTGATCCAGGTGAGAGGAGGGTGAACGCGGTCAAACAATATTCGATAAGGCTACGTATATATTAACGGCTCAAAATGTTGATATTAATTATAATTATGCAACATGGTATTTTGCATCTCCCTTATGATTAAAAAGTAAAAGGGATATTATCCAAATGGGAATTGTTAAACAGCAGAAAGTGTCAACAAATATTGTGGAAATGTTTGTGTTCGTATAATATTCAATTAATGAATACATTGAAAATAACGATATTTCGATATTTCTAATAATCGTTTAGAATTGGTGACTGTGACAGACGAGAATGTAATTTTAACTACCAGTATTGTGATGTCAAGTTATTTATAACGAACGAAATGTAGCAAACAATGTAACGCGGATTAAAATAGAATTCTGATGATATATGTAACCGATTGACTCGAACAATTAAAACTCGGCGAGTATTTAAAAAAAACATAAAGAACATTATTCAAGATAGACATACAAATGTCTTGAGATAGATATATATATATATTCTTGGACTGTTTAGTTTCGCGTATTTACTATGTCGCGGGAAATTGAAAGTTACGTGTGTCATGTAAAATGTGAAGTTGCTTCGCGCGCGATGAAGAGAAGAAAGTCGATGAAGAATTTGCGGAAAAGATACCAATAAGAGGAATCATCGCAATGGCACCGCTTCCTTTAAATGCGAACTAAAGTTTCACGAGTTTTCCTGATCTTATAATTTAAATGAACGTGATTCTGATCTATCAAGACTCTCTGTCTCCCGTTCTTCGTGATTCTTGACTTTGCCGATGCAATCAAAGATTCTTCGAATTTGTCGAACTTTCCAACTTCTTCAGAACATTGACCGACATTTAACTATCTTCTTCAGGATGATTCAATAGAGGATCTAAAGGTTTGTATTTCCATATTTTTGTCGTTTATCGAATTATAATTCGAAAAATATATTTTTTAAATTTGAGAATAGAATGTAACACAAATGAGATTTGTTGTTATTAATAATTAATTAATGTACTGCCTAAAAAATATATATACGCGCCGTTCTAGCACTGTTCCTAAACTAAATCCTAATAAATAAATTGCGTCAATATTTGTTGCACTAATCGACGGGGAAAGTAACGTGCGTAAATTTCATATAAGAATACATAAATGATAGCGAAGTAGCGAGCGAAAGAGGTGACGAAATCCCATTGGGAGTCTCACGAGCGGCACCGAGCTTACGTCGGAGGTATTTAATGTTCTCCACGTACAACCACGTGGTCACACGTTAAAAGCATTTAATGAAAGGGCGTCGTCGCACTTACGGCGGTCGACCCTCTCGGGAGGAACGAATGGAATAAGAAGAGAGAAAGACGTACCCCGAGGGAGAGGGAGAAGAGAGATAGAGAGAAGATGTTAGGGGTTGCAGAGAGGGAGACAGTTGGGTGGAGCGAGCGTCGGTGGAGGAAGCGCATACACACCGCATTCGCACATTCACACTCACCTGGATACGTGCCTCAGGTAATCCGATCTTCTCGGCGAGACGCTCCCGTGCAAACACGTCCGGGTAATGTGTCCGCTCGAATTCTGAAACGAAACCAGTTTGCAACAAGTGCTCGTTATTTAGCCGCATCGTCGGCATTAATTATCGCGATATACGCGGAGCTTGTCGGTCATCGCGCATTTTCTCTCAACCGAGGAACACTAGAGACCAAACCGAGAAGACTATAATCTTGATATCGAAATATCGACTTTGTGTCGTGAATTAATATGTAACAAATTTATAACTCGATGTCTGAGTAGGGATCGTCAATTAAGAAGTTGATTAAATTTCATTCGCAATAGAGAAGAACCGCACGATTTATGACATTTATCGTATACAACGGCAAGAGCAGATTGTCAAAATTGATAATTTGCTGATTACATTTTATACTGACCTTTCTCGAGGCTGTCTATCTGCTCGTTAGAGAAGGAAGTTCGGTTGCGCTGCAATTTCCTTTTCAGCCTCAGCCGCACCTGTGAGTCTTCATCTCCGGAGGAATTGTGCTCCGAATTACCGTCCGAAGTTGTCTCCTGCTGATGCGACAATAAAGAACCGGTATCTGGAACAAGGATTAATCGCTTCTACTTTAATCTATTGTTTCATTCAGTCTTAAATATTTCGTTCATTTGCGATTATAATTAAATTACCCCATTGACTCATTTCATAGATCGATTATTATTAAGCCTAATTATTAATCACATTCACACCAGCCCATCAATAAAAAAAAACAATTACTCTTTGACATTTTTCTCTCATTATGAGAAACATTGCGATCTAATTAAGAGGCCTCGCTGTTTGGTGCATCATCAGCCGATCTCGTAACGCGATCCACCATTCTCGAGATTCCTAGACACCACGCAATCCAGACGTGTGCGACCGGTCTTCGAGGTCACGTCTCGTGTTGGTGCGTCGGTTCGTACACGCGCGAGCGTAGCCCCTCGTCAAGCCCTGTGGGCCGCGATTACTTTCCGCCTCCGCGCATCGCACCCTCGTCTCTTTCCATTCCTCCCGATACCTTCCCGGCGTTTCTCCGTACCTCTGCTCTGTCCGTCCCTCCGTATCACGCGGTGGAGAGATGTACATATATACGTACGCCCTTACGCTCGTACATATATATATATATATATACATATACATATATACAGTTCGTTCGTCAGCTGCTCGCTTTCTCGTTCGCTCATCTCAACCCCCGCGCAACCCCCAATTGGACTCGACCCGGCGAAACCCCGTCAACTAGAAATACCGGCACCCCAAACACGCCTCTGTCTCTCTTTCTCTTTCTCTTCCCTTCCTTCCTGCCTGCCTCGTACCCCTAAGCGTCTGCCTCCGTTCGCCTTCTTCCCGCGGAACCCACCCACTTCCTCGCGAATATCCCTGCGCGTAACGACCAGACCGGGAACGATTCTCGGCGGTCCGCTGCAGACGGATCGTTGGCTTTAATTTTCTAGGTGACGACGCACGCCCGGCGAAGAAAGAGAGGAGATTAGCCGATATTCTCTCTACGATCCGGCCGCTTAATGCGCCCGCTTCGGCCAAAGTGGCAGCGATCGACCGTTTGATGCATTCCTGTGCATTCAAGTGCACTCAATGAATGTATAAACCATTATTTACAAGTAGCAATGTTATTCGAGGCTCTTTCATTGATACACATTTTTAAATTATGGACTTTTATCTATAAATGTATTAATAAATCTAAACGTGTCATTTAATTGAAATCTGCAAGGATGAGACTATTCTAATCATGTAATATTTATTGATATTTGAAGAACCTCTAATATTTGAACCGAAATTATTTTAGAAGCATTTTCTACGAATCTACGGAAAATACGTTCGCAATAGAAACACTTTTCTATCTGTCATTTTACCACTGCTCACGTAATCTACCTATTGAGAGCGGTCGGCATCTGGATTTGTCATCCGCGGACTGATTCTGGCTATAAGAACCGAGCCGCAGGCCCGATCCTATTAGACTTATAGCGTTGTATGACGGATCCCTTTTCCCTACTCCACCGCATCATATACACGTGCTTTGTACGAGGTGTCAAGGGCTTGGAGTCGCATAACCCTCGAACGAGATAATGCGCGACAAAATCGTATATTTTGGGAACAAATATTTCTGTCAGTCTAAATAAATTAATAAATGCTAGGTTGCGTAAATACTAAAATGCAATTACCAGATGCAAAGTAAATGACAACTTACCGCTCCGCTTCAGCAAAGAATCATCGCGCCCATGAAGTTGACTACCGGGCAAGAGAGTCTGACCGGATCCAGGAGTTGCCGCCGTTGGAATACCCGTAGCCAAGGGATGATGGGAAGGTGTCGCCGAATACCACGCTGGCGGCCAGCCTGCTGCTTGCCCGTTAAACATTCTCAGCTTATCGTAAACGCTCTCAGCCCCCTGATGCGCTTGTACCGCGGCCGCCTGTTGCTCCTTCTGCGAGGCCAGGTTCCTAAGTACCCTGTTAATGGACGACACCTGCGAAGAAAATAAAATTTCCGCTGAGAATCAATTATCTCCGCATCATTTATTCATTTAATCCTATATCAGAGCTAGAGAAAAACTAGGAAATATCTGACCATCTGCATTTTTTTTTAAATTACACTTAATTCTAATTCTCATAAAACAATAAATGGATTATTATTGGAAAATAATTGTTTAGGGAAGTTGCTTCTAATCTTTGCTAACTATATGGCAACGATCATCTTCAAAGGCGGCTAGTACAATTTTATCAGAAAATTAAGGTATATAATGTTGAAGAAAATGACTCAACGTTTCATTCGATATTGGCGGCGATGTACAGAATTTCGCGAGAATTAATCGCACAATAGCAAAATAATATAATCGAGTATTAATAAGCTTCGAATAAGATTTTTCACGCGAGTCTCCTCACGGATTAATGAGCAATTTTTATACGACTCGTCAGAAAGAAGATGTTAAATTTTAGTTTGCAGAAATTATCGATATATCATATATGTGCGGAATTGGTACGTTTGCAGGGACCTAGCATTTTAAGATCGCTGACATGGCGGAGGAAAATGTCACGCGCATCTTTAAGAGACGAACGTATTTCTAAATAATAATATTTACTTTATTTTAACTTTTATCTAAATTTAAAAAATGTAATTTTTATATCAATATTTATCATTGAGATATAATATAATATTTCTCTAAATTATTTTTGTAACAACTTGACAACAAATTAACAACTTATAAACTGAATTCATCGATACTTTTTAATTTCTTTTAATTATCTATAATTCTAAAATTATAAAACAATAAAAAAGGTTTTCTTTGATTTTATTTTGTGATTTGCTTTTGGTATTCTTAATGTGAAAAAATAAATTACTTAGAGAGAAAATATTATGCTATCTTTTGACACTAATGACTGGCAATGTATCCCTATGCGCAGGATACCTCCGTCATCCATTTGCGACGGATCAAGGAAAAAAGAGATATAAAAGCGAAACGGGCCGGGACGCGCGGCTCTTTGTAAACTCTCGCGACCGCAGCCACTCGTCGTCGCACGAGAATCATTTCCGTCGTCGTAGCTGCGCACTGATTGTCCGCCCCTTGTCGTCTCTCGCGCTGGGATTCTTCTTCCTCTTTTTCGTCCTTCCGCGATCGAGGGATGCGAATGGGAGCGGGGATCGTATCCAGATGAAAGGACACCGCCGTCCAATTATTATTACATAAAACGGTCTCCACGACTCTTTGTCCCCTTCCAATCCGAGCACGGTTGTCGTTGTCGTCATCGTCTTCATCTTGCGTCCGCGACCCAGCCACTGGCTAACTCCAAAGTTATAACGAGCCCGCGTATAACATGGGGATCCAAGCATCGCACTCTCGACTTGCACATAATGGTCCTCGGCGCGCTTCATACGCACACCAAACCCACATATACCCTTCTGCACTGAGTTTGGTGCACCGGATATACATACACGACCGTTAATTCAGCGGATGTCGGATATCGAGCGAAGCTTCTTAATTACGAGGTCGACCGAGAACTTCGACAAGAGCACGAGAGAGAGAGAGTGCGGGAAGCCGATCCTTCTCGCATAGTTTGACTTAAAATCGACGGAATAATGGCCGGGCGACGCCGAGAGTCATTAGAACAGTACGTGGCACGGCTGTATATTAGAACGGGATTAAAGACAAAGTACTCGGACTTAGCGGAATTCCACAGTTTGCTTATGCTCGGTTATTCCATATATTTTTGATTATTACATTCGCAAAATATTTTTCACACAACTACCCTCCGCAATGCGAAAGAAGTTGATGAAGAAATTCGGGAATAAGTAGCATTGCGATTGAATTCAGTTTTTCGAGTATCCTCGAATATTACAAAATATCGATTCTCGATGATTTTATCAGTCGACATCTACCATGCCTGCAGCTCATCGAGCATACGTAATTCCAACCGTCTCGGCTTGTCCCGACGCCGTGAGATAATAACAGGCGGATAGCGGAAGCGACGTTTCGAGATGAGTTAGCCCCGGCTAACCCAGACCAGGCTCTCCGTCATCAGATCGTCTATCCAGCCTGGATGCCGAGAGAGAGAGAGAGAGAGAAGGAGGGAGGACGAGAGAAAGAGACAGATCCCGGTTGTACGCTCAGCACCGCTCCACTCTCGCCGCACAACAGCCGCAGCGTCGATGCAGGCCATTACACGCGCGACCGGACACGAATAATTGTGCAACACGCTTAACTGATCCCATTCACCCTGATTCTACCCGCTCCCGTTCGCTCTCGCCGCCGACTAACCCCCGCCGCACCCTCGGCATCACCCTCGGCGCGATGTGTACCAGCCGCAACAGCCAACGCCACCGCCGACGCTACCAGCGATCCACCAGTATCCAGATCGAGAGAGGATCGAAATGATCGAGAGAAATTGTCATCGATCGAATAACGTCCTTTCTTATTCTTTTCGTGTCTTTAATTAATGTGTCCGAACAAATTTTAGAGTTATTCTTCATCTATTAATATAATCTTGAAAATATGTTATATTAATTTTGAATATTAGATTTTACAATAGAACTTTAAAAGTTACATAATGTTATTAATAATGCTAAGCGCCTGTCATTTTCCAAAGAGAAAAGGTATGATAAATATTAAATCTAGTGAAGTGATAGATATAATGTTATAGAGTGATGTTCTCTGAAATGTAACATCACTACTAGTCGATGCATTACATGCTCGATGACAGGACGACACGTGCTAGACGCCCTGATTGATCACCCTGAAGCCTCCCACATCCCCCACCAACTCTTCTTCATTCGATGGTTCCTAGGAACACACCGGGTGAGAGCGAGGTTCCTCCACGAGCCGATGGATAACGACTTGTATACGCGTGCCATCCCCCTCTGCACGTATTCCTGACGGTATCCGATAGGGAGAGCATTACCGGGAGGGAGAGTTCTCGAAGAAGCCAGACGAGGACGATCGACCGCGCGAAATATCCTCGGATAGGTCGATCGCGGGGTTTGGGCAGGATGTTTGGTAGACAGATAGACGTACGACCGGAGAGAATTCTTCGAGTTCGAAGAAGGGCGATCAGGAGGGTGGACAATGCCGAGGTCCGCGTAATGGACCGATTACCCCACCCAGCCGATCGCATTGACGAGACTTTGATTAGGGTCGAGTGGCCGGATCCGATGGGTAAGTACACCCCGACCGGCTGCGCGTCACGATAAGTCGACGGCGGATTACGCGTAAACTTATACCGTGTCCAATCAATGGCCCAATATGACGCCGACACAGCGGGAAATTTATTCGCACGCGTTCGTACGATAAATCTGTCGTGGCTTGCAAGCTCGAAAGATCGAAATTTCTGCAATATGTCCGCGCTTAAACTTATTCTCTGTTTGTTTCAATATACGATTCTATGCCGCACGATATTTATTCAAATAAAGTGTTGGATAAAAAATTATTATATTAATTAGCTATCGGTATTAATTAGATGAAGCACATTTCTGAACTCGACGTGTTTACTTACGCTGGGTATATTGTCGTTATTGCATACGCCCTCCTGCAAAAGTCGATCGCGAATCTCCCAAGCGAAGATCGAGGGACATTCCCGTTTGTAGTCGGCGATTTTGTTCACCACAGGTGTTGTCGCCACCCGTGGCTTACTACCACCGATCGCCCGTGGCTTGATCGAGCCGGTCTCGTAATACCTGCGAAAGGGGGTAGATTGTTATTCTCGCTTGATGCATGTTAACGTTACGTCGTGGCAAGTCTTTTGAGCACGATGTGATTATTGAAAAAAAATGTGAGAAACTTTATAAAAGGGGAATATCATTGGGTGAAAGCTCTAACTTTATTAATATCCTGCAATTCCTGAGAGAATTGTAACGTGATGATCACGGAAATACAACGTGAAAAATAATGTAAAAATATAACGTGAAAAATTGAGATGTAATATAAAATTTGCTTGTTATCATATATCCAATTATTTTAAAATCTCAGCATCAGAATAAAATTATTAAAAATTGTACGAATTTCGTCACAAATGTATCAAGTGGCATTATCGCTAATTACATGAAGAAAAAAATAGCAGTTGCGTTCTATGACCATTGAATCTGATTAATTGGATTTAAACAGCAATCATACATCTCAAATTGTTACTCAAATATCGTATAATTAATTTCGATTAATGTCAATTAAATTTCTCATTCGTAAAAGAAAAAAGTAAGAGAGACAGAGAGATCGGTACGTGGGTGGTGCTCACCTGCCAAGGATCTTGGAGACGCATCCGTTGCTGACTTGTAGTATGCGTGATATATCGCACGGTCTGGCCCCGCTGTGGGCCAGCTCGACGATCTTCTGCCTCGTGGAATCCGGCAACGGTCGGCCATTGACGTAAACGCCGCCGAGCTGGTTAACCCCGCTGTGTCCTGCAGCCGAGCACCCAAATATTGAGTTCTGTCCGACCATAGAACCCCCGCCAATACCCGCGCCACCCCCGTGCATCAAGTCTTCCTCTGTGAATCAAAACGCGCGCAACGTGTACGTCACTTCGCCAGAACATCTGATTGGTAAACAGCGGAGAGAGTACGCGCGCCGAACGCGTTCTTATTAGTCTAATTAGCGCTCGCGCCTGTCGCACGGATCCGAAGCGTCAGATTGAACACCAAGGGAGATGTTTGCGTCGCGATCACACGCTTCGACGCCCAGCGGATGTCACGTAACGAAGATCAGTTTGACCCTTGCGCGCCGATTAATTCGCCGCCGTGTGCCTTATTACGAGCGTTACACGTACTGCGTACGGTGCATCGCGCGCGCCGAGGAAGCGTCGAAATGGAAATATACCCATGTACATATATCGCGTAGATCCGTCTGTGATATTGACGACTACGGTAATTGCGATGCAAGGAAACAATAGCGTATGTCACAAATAGATGTACAACGCATTGTGTAATTCAATAATTACGTACGAGAAATTGTGACATTCATGATACGAAGCTTATTACAATGAACTAAATTGAAAATTGTTTGCTTAGAAGATATAATGCAGGCAATTGAAAAGATATTTGACTTTATAAAGATATTTTTTTTTTTTTTTTTTTGTCTATATGTATTTCGATGCAAAAGTGGACCTTTCAGCTTTCCTTGTCACTTTGTTAAATTCCTATAGCGTGTCATGAGGAAAAGGACAAGTTCTCCCCCAACGAGAAGACATCGTGACGGCGTACAGATGACGGGAGCGTCGAGCAGAGCCAGCGTTGCTAAATGCATCTTGCAATTAACGAATTTAATTAATTCCCGCTTTTGCACCGCGCAAAGCGACAAGAAATAGTTGGAATGTAATCTTGGATGGTCCGCGCCGCCTCCGTCGCTGTGCGAAACCACTTCGTATAACAACACGAAGTGGTTTTCTCGCTTGCTGTTTCTCCGCTTGTCGCTTTCTTCCGTCCTCACGCCACTTCTGTTGTGCCTCGTTTTCACCGACGCGAGAAGATATAAAATTCCACACTCCTCTCTTTCGCTCTTTTTCGATCATTCGATGTTCTATACAATTAAAAAAATAACAAAAATATTCAGAACAGAGATAGCGATCATTCGGAAACCAATTTTTATGTGTAATGTAATTTTGAAATATATATTTTGTGAATGCATTATATTGAAATCCTTGTTATTACACGACTTTAAATTAATGACATTTATTTCAAAACAGAATTATTTTATGAGACTTTTAGATATGACAGTTAAAATTCTGAGAGAAACAGAAACGTCAAAATTCCATTAATTTACATAAACCTATCTTTGGAGGAGAAATGTTTTTTTCATCCGCAACTATCCGTTGGCAATCATCCTGTCAGTTTACAATTATATGCCTAAAGGTTGCTGTAAAAAGTTTTTTTAGCTTTAATCATCTTCGTATTATAACCGGAACTTTCTAAGCGAGCTTCGAGTAAAAGAAATAACAGATATAGAATATAGAAGTGAAGAACGAAAAGTGAGAAATTGTAAAATTGAGAGTCTTATTATAAATAAATCCACGACGTCGAAGAAATTTTGAAGAAAGTGCTTCTTTTATACATCTTTTTATCGCGATAGCAATTTGCAAGAACGAGAAGAGACAAATAATGCGATCTCTTTTTAGAATGTGATATAATAATAATGGTGCAAATTATAAAATATATACTAACAAAATAGTTTGCAAAATATTAAAAAAAAACCGAATTGAATTGTTTAATGGATCAGAAATATCAAGATTTCAACAATATTAACGGTGATTTGAAAACAACAGAGATTGATTCTCATTATCGACTTGTCGATCATAATCGTCGTAACTTTCCGCAAACTTGCGTCTCGATGAATTTAAAGTTCCTTTAATTATGCGCGCGACGAAAAGTAGATAATCACGATAAAGACAAAATATTTTCTTCGAGACAATTTTTCTTCGCGGCACTCTCGGTTCTTTCGTGATTAATAGACCTGCTCAAATTAATAAGAACAGTAGATCCGCCGATAATATAAAATCGTAGTCGGCGATCGTACTTACAGTATAATAAATCATATTCAATTAAATATCGTCTCAAAACTAATTATATTTTAATCATTTTATATATACTTTTTTCGCTTTTTCCTACAAATACAAATTATTATTATCCGAAAAACCAAAGACACAAAACCTCTCGCAATAATTGATATGTTGTTACGATATAACTTTAAGATTTTAATGAAAAGTGATCTAATTTACAAATCTGATTGAAAGATGCTTCGTATTCTTCCGAATCGCTTCATCCTTTCGGCTGAACGGTTCGTCTTAAAAATAGGCGGTCAAAGCGAGAACGCGTCGTCGACGCGGTCCCGTTCTTTGAAGAGACGGCGCACGAGTCTGTGCTGTTTTTCACAAGTTTAATTCGTTACAAAGGGAACAAGTATACATGACTTAGCTGCACATGTACGCGCGCGCGAGATACACCCTTTACGTTCACCGTCTTTCGCCTCACGCCGTCCTCTTTCTCTCTCTCTCTCGGAGGGCGGCCACCCCCGACGACAGAGGGGGATGATGTCGGCGAGAGGGCTCGAATATCGTCAACCCGTGCACACAACACCGCTGGCCGCACACATTCTTTATATATAATTTCGCATTAATCTACGCGGCTGTGCGGCGTAAAAGCGAGTCGCGCCGCAAAGTGAGGCAAAAAGGTTCCACTTGGCTGAGCGTGAAACGGGACACAGATTAAATCCCATCCTGTGCAACCCCGGCGCACGACGTCGCGGCACCCTCGTCCTCCCCGACGCTTTTCTCCCACTCCCGCGTCAGTTCGCTCAGTCCGCTTGGTCGAGCCAGCCACCCTCTATCGCCCTCGCCAAACATCTTCCGAATCTCTGGGAGCCGAGCGAGAGGCGGTCCTCAAACGCGGAAACAATCGCCGGTATTTAAGATGCGCGAATAAACGCAACGAGAATCGACGTGGTAACGTTTTACGTGAGTCGACTATTGTATATGCGATTGGATCTTTTAGAAGAATGTTCTTAGGTCTATTTGACAGAAACCGGAAGTTAACCGAAAGATTCATTAATGCTGAAGGTATTAAATTTCTGAAACGGTTGTAAAAAATTACAAGGAGAAATACAAGTGTTATGATACGTTTCAAAATTTCGAAACACTTGATCAATTTGTGCGAGCCGCTGTAACGTTTATCCTAGACGGACAAACATTAAACCCGTTGGAAAGGAACGATTGATCGTTACCCGATAATAGAAACAAAACAGCTCACCGAAGCGGCTAATGCGCCACTCCAATTTCCAACGATGACAGAAAGTTTGCAGCGGAATAGTTGTTTAATGGGATGTAATAATAGTTTGCGGGTAATTAGTCCCGCGTTGCGACTCGAAACCGGCCGAACGTAATCAGTTACAGAGTGTGTCGGTTCCGAATTCATTTAACGAATTGCTGTTTATTCGTCGACATCCATAAAAAATATCGTTTTCGCGGCCAAAATTACTTTCACCTGTCGCCGTCGCGCGTACGTTAAATAATATAATTACATGCGCCATATTTAGCATTGATAACACGACGAGCACGCATCATCGTGAGATCCAATATAAACTATACTCTAACTTTCAACATTAATATAATAAAAATAATTATAAAAAAATATCGTAATTGCAAACGTATATAAAATGCCATTGAATTGCTAGTGGAAAAACATACGCGTGGTCAGCCGACTTGACGAACTTGCAAGCATACATCAGCAATTGATTATTAACGATTATTTAATGACTCGATTGACAAATCATTTACGTAGAAAATTAAGATAAATAATTATATATATTAATAATTTATTTATATATCTAAATAATTCACGATGCAAGAGAAATTTCAAGATATTCACTCCGGAATTATCATCGCATTAACGTTCACGTTACTCGATGGTGCAGTCCCGTTTACTTTCGGTAATGGTCCCAGCATTCATTATGGACATAACGGGCTCTTCTGGAATCGACGCGTTTGTCGACTGTCACCGGCTAAATGTTATTATCACGTTAGGGTGGAGATCCCGAAGGATGAGCAAACCTGCGCGCGGCACAGCCTCCGAGCGGTTTCGTGATAAACTCTCACGGCATCGCCGAGAGAGAGAGAGAGAGAGAGAACTTCATCTCGCGGACGCCCTTCAGCGACATCAAAGATGGCGTGCCAGGCATACGCTCTCTAATGAGTTGAATCGCGGTAAGAGCGGGGACGCTCTTGCATGCTTTCCGAGCGACGAATTCATTACGGACGGTGTTAAGAGGCGGCGGCGCAGTATTAGCAGCCACCGTCTCCGACAGCGCATACTCATTACCGCGCCCGTTATTATTGACACCGTGCGTAAGGCAGTTCGTTTTCTCTTACCCTCCCTATTCCTCTTTATCTCTCTCTCTCTCTCGGTCTCTCTTTTTTCTTCGCACAGCTTTTCATATAAATACCAAAATTGTACCAACGAGGTTAGTTACTATTCATTCGTACTCGTTACTATTTACGGATAATAAGATGCTTTGCGCGAGAATACGCGAGATAACACGATAATCTCGACGCCGCGAGCGTAGCCACAGTGCGATTAAATAAATTTTGCGTCAGTAATTTTGTGTAAGGTAACGGACCGCGAAATCCTGACTTGATACTTAACGCTCGTCGTATTAAACGAACCATTATCACAATGAAAAGACAACAGCAATCTTCTTAATCATCATGAGAATAGAATTAATCTATATTTAATTGTTTGCATATGTAGCTTTTTTAAATTTTATTGATCTTTAAACTCTATACGGATATAAACGAGCGATCTTCAACGTGTTCTCCGTTTAATGTTCACCAGTGTTGACGAAATATGTTGCGAGTTTATTGCGAAAGGATTAATTAATGGCTCCTATACATAAAGTATTTCAAAACTCGCATGCAGCTGCTTTCAAACTGTCTGAATAATTTATACAGGATATCTTCTTCGCAATATGACAGCCATGCAACTGGAAGAACTAAATCGGCACACTCCACGTCTTTCACATATGCCTATATCGACTGGCAAAAGTTATCGGGGTACCTCGCGGACGTATTGCGAAGCCGTAGCCTATTGATTGGTCGCGGGGATAATCCCGTACCGCCGACATTTATTATCCTCTTGGAGCAACGGAAGCAGGTAATCTCCGCAGTCTCCGAAATCCTGGCACGCGCGAGATCCGATCCCGTAACCAACACACGGGGCCCAGCGCCCGTAACCATTAACAAATCTCGCGTAGCGACGAGAACGAAATAAAGCGCTCTCATGAATCGGGCGTTTGATTCAAATAGCTACCGGGGATTTTATGGAGAATCGAAGAGTAGAAGCAGTTCGTTCTCTGATATATATGTAGTACGTAAAAAAAAAGAGGGGGCAGATTAGTGGCTGGGCGGATGAAAGAGGGGCTCGCTCGTGGCACGCGAACGTTGCCCGCCTTGGAACTATACATGAATACTTTGAGGAGGGGACCGATGGAAAGTGAAGGAAAGAGAGAGAGAGAAAGAGAGAAGGGGGAGCACTTATATTCTCCTACAAGTCCCATTATAATCCAGCGTGGGCCATAGCTGCGTAACGCGATCCCGCGTCTCCGCTCTCGAACGGAGAAAGATTACGTTGCATCGAGACAAATTGGCAGTGTAAGCGCCAACCTCGTCCCCTTCCTTCATCCCTTATTACGAAAGGGAGGCCGATTGTTACCGGGCGTGTAGCGGTGCTGGCAGGTCGCGCAAGCGAATCTTTCGAGGTGCAAGAGGGCCTTCGCTTTTCGCCACCCTTCGGAGTCGCCAGCGAAGGGGCCGACAGAAGCCGGCCAAAGGCGTCTCAAATTACCGACTAACCCCCGAGGGTAACCGCGAGCTCACCTAAGCCCATAAGCGTATATACGCGTATTTATTCATTTCTCTCTCAAGTATGTATAACTTGATCACGCGACGTTGCTGGAAAAACCGCGGGTCTTTATCGGAACCATCTATCTGCTTGAAATAAAACTTTGAACCGAGAGCGATCATACGTCATGATTTTGTCATTAGAAAGTGAAAAGCGATTAACCGCCCTAATTTGCCAAATTTAACACATTATGATTAAATATGACATTATCATATGTTTATATAATATCGCTATAAAGTGATATATGATTTTTAAAGTTTTTATAATCTGATGTATTATTCATGTTTATATTCTCTTATTGTTAGAATTGTCAGATCTTTTCTTACTTAATTAGAAACTATAAAATACATGTACTTGCGGATTATTAGACGTACTGATTATTACACCGAAATTATCAGCGAGTTCACAGTGTCGACAGTTGCTTCTTTCCATGACCGTCTTTCTATATCATCTGGTTTGTCGAGTGATAGTCGGATAGCTCGCAAGCAACCGCGGTAATTGTAGCATCCGCAAAAATACACGACAGTTCTGAAATTTATAGAAAGAGTCGATTCCTGTCGTTGAAAAAAAAAGTATTATTAAACCCGATGCAATAGCGAGAGGATCGAAAAATTTGCTCGTCTGTATACTTATTTGTTCTGTTTCAATAGTATACTTCTTCAATATTAGAATAGAAAAATTACTCGATTATTTTAATTTTCAGGGTCACAAACTTTTCATTTTCATTCTATTCAATTTGATAATCATTAATACTTTCACGGAATAAATCAATTAGGTCTCATAAATAACTCCGACCATTCGACTCGAGTTTTTTTTCTACCGATAAAAGATACATCCATCGACCACTGACTGAAAACTTTTAAAGTCTCAACTTGTCCGCGTTCTCTCGGTACTATTTCAAATCACAATCACCAAACTCATCTTGTCTCGTCTCGCGTTCGCTCGCGTAAAATTAAGTAAATTGATTCGACCGACCTTTATGCGGCATCTTCCAGAAGGGCGGCTCGGGGGTGGGCGAGCAAGGGTTGGCCACCCCCGCGCCCAACAGGGTTCTTGCCGCGTGCAGCGCCGCCGCCGCAGCTTCCCTGCTCCGCGCTGCCGCAGCGCTCGGCGGATAATCCGGAGCGCTGTCACTTTCGGCGATGCCGCCGCCACCGCTACCTCCGCAAGGACGAAGGTGCAGGCTCAGCCGACCGCCACCACTGCCGCCTCCGCCGCCGCTGCCGCCGCCGCCGTCTCCGCCGCCGCCACCTCCGGCCACGCTAACACAGTGCTAAAATCATTCAAGATGGCTCGGTTAAGTTTCTCCTGCACAATTTGCTCTTAACTCGAGACTTAACTGACTTGATGTTTACATAAAAGCGTTAATTGAACAACATTATACATTTTTGAAAATGAATAATTACAACCAGTATACTACTTACAAGGGAACGGAATTAGTTTTGGATATGTTGTAGAGCATGGGAAAATATTAGATCCCAGGAACTAATGATCTACGAGCCGCGCCGAATGACAAAAATTACAAGGGATTTCGAGAAAATTAACATTTTTGAAAAATATGATTACACTCATTTAAAGAATATTGAAAACCATAAGACTTTTATTTTAAACATTTTTTCATATCTTTTATTATTTTGACAGCATTAGTTCAAAAATGAAAAAACCGATTTTTTTCAAGGGGATGTTTCACCCCCTAAACGTCGAGATACGCATCTAAAAAATATCGGTTTAATATTTTTCAGTGCTTTACAACACATCCAAAACTCATTAAAATCGATGAGAGATACTTCTGATCGTTCCTTTGTTAGTTAGATAATTGATAAATCAAGATAATAATCATTCAGTAGACTGATTCTAATAAATTTAATAAGTATACCTTTTTTTAAGGAGCTTTGCTTATAAAACCTGTTTTTTAATTTTCTCGAAACAGAAATATAAATGCACAATTTTATCTCTATTAAATTCTATTTATGACAGAAAACATATAATATAATAATGTTATACAAATCATATAAATAATTATCTTTTTTTAAAAATAAAAAAGAGGAGAAGATAATAATAATAAGCGTTTATTTAGATCAAAAACTGACACATGAAAATCCCTCGTTTTCCAACAAAAAAAAAACGAAAAAAACATGTTGCACGTAAACATGTTAAAATACATACAACATCCTATAACACCAATATCGTATTATCGAAGGCTGGATAATATCGCCGATAATGCCGTAACTCTCACGGGGAATATATCGCGGCGCGATGATTATTTAGTGCAGTGCGCGATCAAAAACCAATTTCGAGCGTAACGACATAACGTATCGACAGCGTGGATTATTAACAGATGCAAGCGCGTTTTGATTTCACGACGGTGTTACGTATTACAAAATTTTTTACTTGACGAGAAAGTGGGTCCCCTTGTTAGTTGATAGCGGCGAGTCACTTGGCCGACAACTAGCGATATTAATGATTAATCGCGTGGAAAGCGAACGCGAGATTATTTTTTTTTTTTTTTCATATACATTTTTGCAATGATTTGATAAATTCACGATAATTTACGAAAACTCAATTGATCCCTGTACCTTTCCGCAGTGCGGACACGACGCGTCGCGCACACGCCCTTCACGTGCGCGTAAATAACGTGGCTTCAAAGAACATAATTCGGGGGATTATCGCCTGCGAAGCGCGGTAAATATTGGCGCCGTCGAAACTGGTTCGCCAAAAGCAAATTTCAAAGTGCGCCAAAAAATAAATAACACCCGAACAAATAATAAACATTGCCGTGTCGGCGGTAAATTTCCGAATTTTTCCAAGGCTGATTACATCCCGCATAAATTTGTTCGTATTACCTCACGCATAGTAGATCTAATAAGAATGTGTACGATATAAAAATAAGTGTTAGAAGAAAGATATTTTTTTACGCTGTATCATAAAATTAATGCAATTTAAAATATGTATATGTATAATCGGAAAAATTTAGATTAAATTTAAATGTAACTTTTTTCTAAAAAACAAAAGTTTTTTTTTCACTATCTTATCTATGATATAATTAAAGAAAGTGACTGAATAAGCGCGGAATAAATTATAGATATTGATATATGGTACATGTTGCATTTAAAACAATAAATCACACAATATTCATAAGAAAGCAAATGTGCATAGAGTTATTCCTTGAAAGTAAGTATACGTATACTTTGACTTTGAAATATCGCATAATTATCAGTAGTTATTCTATTTTTACAACTCCACCCGGAAAATGTTACATGAGAAATGAGTAGCACTCGTAACGATATGTACTATAATATACTTGTACTACTAGCTACTATTTATCAAAAAACCTCCCGCTAATTAGGTGATATATTACACGAACAAAAATAATTAGCACAAATTAACTATTCCCGAAAAAAAAAGATAATCCAGAAAGCGCTATATAAAAAGAAAATAATCCAAGCCCAGCGGTGCGCTATCGAATAGTACCTATAGTGGCCTATCGAGACAATATCTTGACGATCGAGAAATCCAACATGTGCGCGCGAGAGCGCAGATCATCTATGCGCATTCCGGCGTGCCCCTCGTCTCATCACGGTTAATCATCACACGCCGGCGTATGTCGGGACGAGCGTTAATTGTCATTCGGCGCGGCTCGTAGATCATTAGCTCCTTTCAAGCCCAGTCGCGGTAACGTCACGACGGCCGACGGCAAAGCAGGGGACATCAATACCCGCGCCTGACCGGATCGAAAAGTGCAAGCTGTAAAGCGGCGAGCCAAGGGTCGTTAAACGTGGTCGACCACGAGATCATTCCGCTTCTTGTCGCGACTCATTCTCGAGAGACGCTACTTCTTCTCAGGAGAGAAAGAGAGAAGTCGTATTCGTCTCGCGCTACGAGATCTCGATTGGATATACCGCTGTCAAAACGCGATTCCGCGCGACTGGCAGAGGGATAAATAATTTAATCTTCGATACTGTATATATACCGTATACACATTATACATACTTGACATTGTAAGAATATTTCCTCGCGGTAGCAACCTACGTCACTTGATGAAAGAATAAAAATCAATCAAATATACGCGGAATACTCGTCATATGATAGTGGACAGTTTGCGATATCTAAATAAGTTTGCTACATTTTAATGATAACAAGAAAATTATCAAAATTCTCTCTTTAACGTCAAATATGTATATCGAAAACGAAAAGTCGTAATCGCAAGATTTCTTAATTATCAATGATTAAAAGATACGAGGGGATGTAAAAATCAGTAGGTTATTTCACGCGGACTTTTAGCTAGCGAGGCGCGAGATGAAATTACTACCTCAGAACCATCCGGACAGCTGGAGAACGCGACGTGCAGAACGCGCGACGGAGATCTGAGGAACGAGCTACGTTTAGTCTCGTTGAAACGACACGACATCGCGCGCTGCTACCTTCTCGGCACACAAAAGCGGAATATCTCGCAGACGACCTGCATCCCGTTGAGCGCGAAAGGCGGAAGTTTAAGCACGATGCATTAATTTGCGCCAATTAGAATGCCGGCAGTAAACTGCGAGCGCGTACTCGCACTACGTCGCGCTAATTCGAATTGGATACACAAGTTAATCGTTTTTAATTCTCCGACGCACTTCATACATACACCGCAATGAGCAACCATCAAATATATCACGCATTTCCCTACACAATAATGCAACTTGATTTTCTCTAGGAAGAGAAGAAGAAAAACGAGAAAGAGAGAAAGCGAAATGCAAGCAGTCTCTACTCAATCATTTTTATAAGTTTCAAAAGCAGACAATTCAGTGAAATTAACATTTTTTTTATTAATAATTTTTTATGTGCCAATATTCTCTCTCTAAAATAAATTATGGTATATGCCATTATAAATATACATTTTCTGATGAGATAAAGATTTATAATTATGTCTTGTGTGCGAAACGTTGATACATCAATCGATTTAACAGAATAATCATAAAACAAGAGACTCAGAATTAATAAATAATTTAGATTAAGATTTTTCTCGGCTTTGTCCTTTTTCCCTTCGCCCTTCAGCACTTTAGACACGACAAAGGGCTTTTCACGAAATTTCTGAGGTACGCGAGCGCTTTCTTTGTCAAGCACTCGAAGAAAAGACATCTGTTATTTTCCGAGATTGTATCACTTTCAATGAGCAAAAAGAGTATGTTCGTTTCTTTCGTCTAGAAATAATATCAACAGTGTGTCCCTTGAATAAACATACAAACTGAAACGAAATGTAAAAAGAAGTTCAAATATTGTATTATATGGAATTCTACAGCTACATAAAATCACTTCTGAAAAATAATTTAACGCTCCTCTCTCATAATTCCCCTTTAAAATTACAAGTGCTGCTTACGAAGTAGATAATAAGAACGTTGCGATTTACTCATTAAAATTTAAATATAACGAATAACGAGAAAAGAGAGAAATATTAAAGAAAAATATTAAAAACCCACACGCATTAAAATTTTATATAGAAATTGCGATAGTAAAATTCTCTATAATATTTTAATAACAAAATATAATGATTATACAGTGAATTATACAATAACGACGTTAAATATAAGAGGACAACAATAAGATCAATGAAGACTTTTCTCTCGTTTCTCGATTTCTATTTGAAATATAATTTTGAGTTTTCTCATCGCGCAAGTTACACAACTTCAAATTCAAATTGATTCTAGAACGAGATCGGAACATAAATAGAGCGTCTCTCTTGTACGTTAAAAAATCGAAGCTCTCTCATAAAAGGCACCGCGATATTGCCTCTCGTGTTTTCGTTAAACAAGTGCGGTGCATTCCGCTTGCAATCGACAGCTTTTTTCGCGATCATAATGAGGTACTCGGGCGTTAACAACGCCATTGTGCGCTACGCGCAATTTGTAGCTAACCGTCGCGTCGCGTCGCGTCGCGTCGGGCCGCGTCCAAGTTATTACCCCTATTTCCGTTTATTACAGTTTTCTATAGATAATAAGAGGCAGTTTTCCGCAGGGAAAATTCGTTTCTTCGCCACCGTTCGTGACGAGCAACGAGATATTATTCTCTGCGTTTATTATTAAATGAGATAAGCGAATCTTCTAGTGTTGTCGAATTAAACCTTGTGTTTAAATTAACAAAACTTCATAAAAATTGCTAATTCTTAATCATGGAAATTGTCTATTTAGAAGTATGAAACAAGTATCATAGAATTTCTATATACATGTAATTTGTAGTAAACTATTATTTTATGTGTGTGTTAGATATTGTTAAAAGTTAAAACTATTTATACCTAATCGAAAAAATGATTATGTAGAATAAGACAAAAATATATATGTATATAATAAAAATATAATATAGAAATTATATTTCGATAATGGAGCAAATTATCAAAAAATTATAAAAATCTGTAGTATTCAGACTCTGTATCATACAATACAGTTTGAAATTGATTACATGAAACGTGGAAATTAATTTAGATTGACAATTATGGTTTACTTGTAATCCTTTTTTTTTCTAAAGATGATCATTATTTAATTATATCAGTAATCAGTAATTAAAAATTAATATAGCGACAGTGCAGTAAATCCGACAGCTACCTGCAGCACACAATCAAATCTCCAGAATTGTGAAAAGAGATACACAATTCGTCTATTAAAAAGAGGAACAACATAATTTAAAAGAATTTAAGAGAAACTCTAATTCATACATAGAATCATTATCCAATTTCGAAATATTAAATATATATTTAAAAATATACCAACTAATGTAATAAATCAAAAGAAAGTAACAATTGAAAATAGATGATCGTATTCCAAATTTTCGAAATTTATATATAAATAAACACTATAAAAAACGGCTAATACGAGCTGCGAAAGTTAGGATGGTAAAAATTAATAGTCTTTCTGTCACTTATACACGATTTAATACGGGACGTTTGTGCTTCTTCAGCCACTCAATAATCACTCATAGGAGTGGCTGAAGAAGCACAAACGTCCCGTATTAAATTGTATATAAGTGACAAAAGGACTATTAATTTTTACCATCCTAACTTTCGCAGCTCGTATTAGCCGTTGTTTATAGTGTTTATTTTAAAATTTAACCAGCCTTTTGATTATATCGTTCGGTTATATATAAATCAATTAGTTGACCGATATAAGCTTTTGTTCTGAATTTTTGTAGCCGCGCGTAGAAAAGTCTGCGACTGCAAAGAAGAATCTTAAACTAGAGCGCAGAGTCGGTATAAAATGAAGTTGAGAAATCCGGACGAACTTTTAATCGCAAACTGCGAATGCGAAACGTACCGTGTCGAGAATGGCCGTGGTCAGGCCGGATCCAGCCACCAGCTGAAAGCACAATCCGCGACGACGTTGCTCCACTCACAGTATTGTCCCGGCGCGACTCCCGTGAACCGGAGCCCTCGCGGCCCTCCTTGGCTTGCCGCGCCGATGGGGCCTTCTCTCGAGGAAAGGAATCAGCTGCCGACGAATGGATATGCCGCGACTTAACTTCTGATCTCACTGACACACTAGAATTGCACAGTTTAACGAGAGTGCATCGACGCTCGCCGCACGTAGGTGAATCCACACTGTTGACTCGACGCGATTAAACGCGGATTGTTGCCGGTGTCAATTATATGCGAATGCGGCACGATGACAGATCCGAGAGACCCAGCGGGACCCAGGTTCTCAAGAGGTCGCGGATGGGCAGGGTACGATATAAATGTACTCACTCGGAGGATTATTTGTCAGGCGCGAGGAGCCCCCGCGTTTACAAAAGGAGCAAGAAGTATCCAGGAGTAGCTGTCTCGGCGATAATGCTTTCCGGGTACGGAGCGTGAAGAAGCGCGGCTCTTCTCTCCAGGCGGTTTATCGGAGTTTATCGCGCCTGGCTGGCTGCGGATGAGATGCTGCTAGCCGGAGTGCAGTTGAACGCGCGGCGTCGGTGGAGAGGAAAGAAGCACGTGCCCGACTCCCAAAACAGGGGTGCAGTGACGCGTCGCTGCTGCGGTGCGCGGCGCCCGATTGACCACCAGAGTCTGCCTTCCCGCATGCGGAGATCCCTGCCGCACGATTTCGGCACCCCCACCCCTAAGCAAGCGTTCCCTCGTACAGACACACACACCGTCTCCCTTCGGACGGTGTTGTCCCTGTTCTCTCCCCTGCCACGCCACACGTCGTCTCTGTCCCTCATCCTTTCTCCTTCCTTTCCCTGTTTCACGCTCCCTCTCTCTCTCTCTCTCTCTCTCCCTCGTCCTCGACGAGCGAAGTGTCGACCAGGCAGTTGCCTTGCCTCCGGGCAACGTGGCCCCTGACGAGGCTTCTCGACCAGGACCAGCTCTGGTATATCTGGGTGGAGCCAGATCTGAATGGCGTGGCCGCGGCTAGTCGCGCTCGCCGATAGTGGGGATAAACTACAATCGTGCCGCGCAGCTCGGCGTCGCGCAACTCCGTGCGGCGCCTTTGACGCGGCCCGATCGGCGCGATCTGACATTCTACCGGAGGCGGCGCCTGTCATGGGCGGTTCCCCTGCTCTGGATCGGGGAAACCCCGACGACGCCATTGTTTTCGGCGCGGGATGCCGCGGAACGCAGCGCGTGCGAGCTTCACGCCGACGCCCGGCGTCGCGACGCCACTCTCGCACGCAACGCCGTCGTCGGCCGTCGCCCGTCGCCGTCACCGTCGTCCGTCTCTTTCCCTGTCTACCGCCAACATTGACTCGCTCCACTCGGATTTTTCGCGAGGTAAGTCTGTTTGTTGTGTGCACGCGTGAATGTGTGACGATAATTACGCTGTACTACTCGAGTCTTCCGAAAATTTCTTCTTTTCTCCGCGCGTGCGATTCCGATTTCTTCGCCTCCGATTTCTTTGCTCCGAATTTTTTGATTAGGGTGACAGGTTCTAATGCTATGCGGTAGGATAATTGAGACATTTGCTCCGAAATTTTTAACTCATTTTTGTCTAATATTAGGGTGTATCGAGTAGCGTAAGTCAATATGTAACAATGTACGTTTATTATATCGACTTAAATTTTGACGTTTATCGAATTTTTTTTCGGATGCTTGATTGTATTTAATCTTATAAGTACTATATAAGTTGTCAAATTCATGAAGAAAATTTCGATCATTTTCTTTAACAATTAGAGATTTACGTGAAATAAACTTTTAGTCGGATAGATTATTCTCACAGTTGACCAATTTATTTCGTTGCGATTATAAATATATAATATGAATGGATTTTATGTGAATTTGTTGATTTTTTGTTGAATTTTCTTCATGATCTTACCGATTCATACGTATTTTGAATATAAGGTGGCTAAGAATAGTTTGACGTGGACGAACGTCGAGTTTGACATTCTAATGCCATTTTCACGCATAGCTTCCATCATGCAATCATCGTCCAAATCCACCCTCCGATTTATCTGCCTTCGGCAATTCATCCGATTTTTTTTACTTCCGTTTCTGTCTGTATATGCAATCGCATATATGCGTGAGCGCATTGTGTCGGTACATGGGACTTTATCCAACCCTCTTCTCGCACCCTCTTCCTCTCACCTTTATTTTATCTCTCACATTTTCTCCGTCCATACATAAGTGGGTTGACATAAGAGAAACGCGGTGGGATTCCGCTAAAAGAACCCGCTCTAATGAGAGATAATGGCAGCCGCGAGTAAAAACCGGCGTTTGCTCTTTCTTTGAGAATTAGCGAGCGCTTTAAAACGATTACCTCGCATACAAAGCAAGTCGTACGAAACAGTCGCGCAGAAACTAAAACTAAAATGCATTTTTGTAATATATATCTATAATAAAGCTGATGTTAAGTTGAAATGTTTACTTTTTTAATTTATTTTATAGTGCTTATTTTTTTGTATCTACTATACATGTGTATATGTGTGTGTAATTTACGATACTATATATAATATTTGTAGTACAAAATACATTAAATAATAAAAAGAATGATCTATTGTGCTTATATATTATCTCTGAAAATGTAAGACTTGGAATACATTACAATAAAAACGTAATCATTGTCATCCTAAAAAAAACGTATCCATTAATTTGTGAGTGATAGAAGAATAATTTTTATAAGCGATTAAAGAGACCTCTTAAAGAATCTACGATTCTTTTTATCTGTTGCTGAAAGGATCGATGCAAGTGCTAGATTATGAAAAAAGAAGGAGAGCAACCCTTTCGCTTAAAATAAATACCGTAAGAGAGATTTTCCTTTGCCCGGTCGAACGGAACAGGTGGGTCCAATTAGGCGCCAATTATCTGCGTATCTAACCCTTTCTCGCAATCGGCGCGATTAACGACGCGCTCGGGGGAAATAACGCAAAAAAAAAAAAAAAAAAAATGCAATGTGTATATAGATACAATGCGAGTCGTCGAGAAAGTTACATACAGTCGACGCGCAAATTATTTCGATCATTCGTCGCGGTATGTATAAAACCCCGTCGCACGCGAAAAAAAACCTCGTCGACTACCAATTATTTTTATATTCGAAAAGCGCACATGTATATGCTTGCCGATTGTTCGTACCAATCATAACTTCACATTGCTAGTATTATACGACGGGAAATTGATTTTACAATACGATTTTATCCCTCACGTTGTTCCCTGCCATTAGTAATGTGCGAGTGGAAATAAAAAAACTGCATCAGCCTGATATAATCGTCGATAAAAATATTTGACACATCTGTATTAAAATAAATTGAAGTTTGTAGGAAACAAAAGTATATATAGAAAAAATGTATATAAGATCTTATACATTTTCAATCACATTTCTTTTAATATTTTAAATTTCTTTTAATTATTTTCTATTTTTCAAGAGATCTCGAATTTCCGTTCACATGTATGGACGCAATAAAAAAGTGAGAAGAAGAATCAAGAGTTAACTAAACGTTGTAGGATCCACCAGAGTTGCGTTCATTTGTATATCAAGCAGTAATTTTCAGATTAATTAAAGCGAATATTCGCGTCATTTTATCACGAATATATATATATACGCAAGGACAATACGTAGTCGAAGAGTACCTAATTATCAGGCAAGGTGATCTCGCTATCCTCGCGACACTAAATACGTGTATCCGACCGAGTATGCAATTAATCAGCCAGGCGTGATTAATCGAAGCCGGAGCACGAGAATCGATGTCGTGCGCGGAACGTTAAACGAAAGTTCCGTCCCGTCTGGCCTTCGAAACAACCGATAGAGATGACTATAGTTAACGAGGGATGACAACATAACCGATTCGGCGAAAACTTGCAAAATAAAAATGCACAAACGAAATAGTCGAATGATAGACGGATTAACACGGAAAAGATAAGATTTGAAATTTTTAAAGCGCAATATATGCCTGAATGATTTAGCGCAAAAAAATGTTCTTATATTTATTAGTCAATTTTTGACTTTCTGTGTGGCTATACTTTGAATTTGAAAGTGACTTAAATCGAATTTTGAAGGTTTTAATTATACATTTTGGAGCTGAATTACATCTTTTACTTCTACCTATAGAGTATAAGATATTAAAAATATATATTTTATTTTAATTTTTCTCGTTATATTTAAAAAATTGACTTACGTAAGATTTATCTGTAAAATAAATACAGAGATATCATCACATTCCAAGAAGCGCATCTATCGCACTTTTTCTAATCGGATTCGCAGAGTTGCAAGAATGATGAGGAGATATATATATACTATGCGAGAACCATCAGGATAATAACGTCTTTATGTTGCCACAGTCACGCTAACATTCCCTGCAGCTAGTGTAGGTAGTCTTTGGTTGATAGCCATGAAACACGGGGCAGCAAGTTGCTGTCAAAGTTCGGTAGCGTATCTTTCGATACGGTTTTCGTGTATCTTTCGGCTTTGGCCACCGCGTACAATTGGATTTATCAAGTCGGAATCGAAACGCGACAAATCCCATGCATACAACATTGACATTTCGGATAATCGCTATCGTACAAAACTAACAATAAGTTAATTATAATCTATATAGTTTCTTTCTTCATTCATATACAATTGTTTAACCGTGTCTAAATAAGTCGTGCAAAATATTGAATATATTTTCTCTCTCTCTCTATTCTAGTTGTATAATATGACTGTAAATTTCTATATTGTTTTTTTGCCAATTTTTCGCAGTATCGTTCGCAAATTCATACACGCGGGACTTTATATAATTCTCTGCCTATCATTGTATCGAATATTGTACAAAACAACTAGCGCTTAGCGGTATTTTTAATCGAACCGATTTCATATACGCAACAGTGTTATTCGAACGTTTAACACGAACAAAATACTATCGAGGCCGCATTGTTGGCAGCATTTTCATCCGAAGCATTTACAATTCCTCTTTATTGCCTTTCGGCTTATCCGGATTGCGCCTCGCGCATTTACGAGTTGTATTTCATCCTGATAATCGCCATTAAGTTAACGAACTGCAATACGGGCATTTGAACGCATGGAACACGCGGATTAACGTACATTAATAAAATTATCCGTGTGAACAATGGATTATGCGCTCGCGGGCTTTAAATGTGTCGTTTCACGACAAAAAGAGATCGGCGCAATGTGATTATCGGAACAAAAAAAATTACGCGGGACAAAGATACGCCGCCGAGAATAATAATTACAATTTGCCGGTAATTGATTTAGCCATGTACGTATAATAACAACAGCGGTAACAATCGAGCAATTTACTACAAACGCGATATCTGCTTTTACCTCGTTAAAAAAAATCTCTATATATATATATATATATAATGATACAAATATATAAATAATACGCGAGTTATATATGAAGCGAAACATTTCGTATAAACAAACAATAGCGTGTGACAGGATATATATTTGAATATACATCAGTGATGTCAATCGACTATTCATGTACGATAACGAGTATATAAAAAGCCCCTCTCTCTCTCGATATCGGCCTTCTTTAAACGCCAATTTTGCCGAATAGTTACCCTATCGGATTACTTTTCGCGATCGCCCTTCTCCGAGGTCTATACACAGGGCGGCGTTATAGGTGAATTTTGTTATTCTCTGATTTCAGGCTTCGCGGCGCCGGTGCATCTCGGCAAGTGCATCTTCTCTTTGCGGCAAACCGGGGCGCCCGACATCGCGGTGTAATCAGACACCGGTGCGCGAGAAGAAGGAGGAAGGGATGAAAGCAGAGAGACGTAAATGTAATTGGAAACATCCGAGAGGGAGATTTGCCTCGTCTGTTTCCATTCTTCCCCTTCGAATGCATGCCGCCGCTTTTTCTCGCGTTCATCCGCAAACTTTCGCGAGGTATGATCAATTTACGAGAATACACATGTTTTCGGAACAGATTGTCATCTTTCGAAAATTGCCGACGAAATAACGAGTAAAAGGTTCTCTCGCTATACATATAGTAATAAAAATCGATCCGTCAGAGATTGAATTATTGTATCGGCCGTAATTAAAGGGACACGAATATACCGGTTCTATAATTACGCAATTTTTCACAGATATCAATAATACGCCCTTTTTTACACGACTTGAAAGATATTATTTTTACGCGAGAGTCTCACACACGCATATATAGCACAGGCTTACAAGAGAGAAAAGCGCTTTCTTTGTGACGACGTTTACCATTACGTATACGTGCAGCTTTGTAAATGGCAGGGCGCGCGCGCCACGCATGATCGAGCAGAGCCCGACGATAATGCGCTGCGTGCGGCTCTTCGGCGTAAAGAAGGTGTAAATACCTCCCGATGATTCCTCGTCCAAGGATCGAAGCGGATCGCGCAAAGGGAGCCGACACGGAGGCGGCTCCTTTCTCGTCGATAGGACTTTCAATGGAGAGTTTTTCTCATAGAGAGCCATTCTCGCGTCTCCCTTTTCCCGTCCCTCTTCGCGTCGAGGTACGCGTGTGCACGGAAAAGGATAAAAAAGACGAGATCTCAAAAGGTACGCGGAGCACCGCCTCTGATGAATGCCGCAACCAGTTGGCCACCATGTTTTCCCTCCGCCGGTGTGTGTACGCCCTACTCTCTCCGAAACATCCCCTGTGCCGCGTCCGACTTCCAACCCCTCGCAAAACCGCGATTGAACCCTTGTACATCCAGCGCGTATACATATACCGCCATACGTACTGCGGCATAGAGAGGTGATTTTACATACGCTTTGTCAGCGAGGAATAGGTAACTTGTATACAGTTGTCGAGCAATGCGGCAGAAATGTACACTAATCAATTCAATTTGCCGGCAATCATTTTAGAACGAGGAAGAAAAATTATTCATACGCATCGCAAAAGAGGGATGCATATCATATAGAATTATATATATATAGATATTGGAGAAAAAAAAGAGAGAAGAAGCCGAAATGAAGATCTGCATAAATATAGTGGTTAAAATTCTTTAATCTATCATACCTGTTGGATATCAATATTACGTAATTTATACAATCATTTTAGAACGAGGAAGAAAAATTATTCATACGCATCGCAAAAGAGGGATGCTTATCATATAGAATATATAGAATTATAGAAAAAAAGCCAAAACTCGAAATGAAGATAAATATAGTGGTTAAAATTCTTTAATCTATCATACCTGTTGGATATCAATATTACGTTATCGTCTCCAGTTTTGGAACGCGCAAAGATTCCTTGCAAAAGAGCGCTCCTCGGTTTTATTGCTTCGTAATAGCGGATCGGACGCATACAAAGTGCACGATGGGGAGAGAAGAAAAGGCAAAGATGAAGGAAGGAAAGCGAAGAAGAAGATAGTGAAAAAAAAAAAAAAACGACACGGGCAAAGAGCGTGGAAGAGAAAGCCGGCCGATAAACAAACTGTGCCGAGGATCGCGGCACTTTAATCTTCCTTTAGAGGCATCGGCCGCTCTTTGCGGCGTTGAATGAAAAGAGAGCAGGAAGTGGGGGAAGGGGGAATCCGACCCCACCCTCTTCCCCGGTGCACTCGACCCCGCGACTCATTATGGCAACATGCGGTAAGTATGCTCGCGTTTTAAGTCTCTCTTCTACCCTTCGGGCGAGGGCCGCCCCAAACGACACGGTATTAGTTGTACATATATATATATATGTATATGCGCGCCCGTCGCAAAAAGCGATAGTCGTAGAAGGTTACCGCATTACGGCACTGTCGAAACCGGCGGGGCTGAAGGGGGAGGAAGGGAGGGGACAGGGTGGAGGAGCATCCCTTATTTCGCGGCGGGGCTCGTTGCACGGCTCGGCGCATCCGAATAGTCTCACTCCCTTGATCCGGGATTCCAGGTGGTTCCTGGCTCCCCCCCCTCTTCCTCCCCCTAGACATACTCTCGAAAATTAGGCATCGTGGATACCGAGCCGATGGTATGCGCTTTACAGCTGCGGCGCGATAGAAAACGGCCAGAAAGCCGCGCGTGTCTGTATCTTTGTCCTTCTGGTCCTCTATCTGGCATTCTCGCCTTTAAGAGAGTATGCGAGATATTTTCTGCACTCTGTAACAAATTAACTGTAGGCACACAGCTTAAAAATGTAACGTGATATCGATTTGATATAATGTGTTTAAGTTGAGTTGAATTTTTATGAAAATTTCGCAAAGTTAGTGGAACAATATTTACATTACTCGAGTTTACCGAAGAACAAATATTAAAGAAGGTATACTCGTTTCGAAACATTGAGCAGTTCGTAAAACGAACTTATACACTTGAAGTCAAACTATCTTTTCGGGTACTACTGAATTTATATAAGAAAAAAAAAATGAAAATTAAATATAAATATGTATTTTCCCACAAACTTTCTTAGCCACTTTGCAGTCGGAATATATTGACGGAAGCCCATAATATATTTCTTAACGAAAACTCGTTGAAACTTGGAATTCTACAGTTTGAGATAAACCGTCTTTTAATAAATGTAGAAAAAAAAAATGTAGAAATTCAAAAAATGACATTTTTTATTAGCTAACGAAACAAAAAAAATCCAACGATCACAATTGGATCACGTAAATGCAAGATGCGAATGTATATATCTTTCCGTTGTGTCTGGCACTACTCGGAGTAATATTTCGCGCGAAGGGCTCTTAAATTTTCAGAGAATGCGACGCAGGTAAGGGAAGAAGAAGAGAGCGCGCATGGGGTACACCGGAGATAATCCCGGTGGTGATGGCGACCAATGCCGACGTGGTGGAACTTACCCCCACTTTTCGTGCTTACCCTCGGGTAAGAAGCAACGATACCGCCGCGCCGGTCTGAAAGGCCGCTGCGAATAACACGCTTACGCGCGATCATCCGACCGCGATTCTCGATGCCCGTGACAGATCGTGCCGCGGCGTCCTTGTGAATATCGCGGGGCTAAAGCTTGCGCTAAAGAGCGAAAAGAGCCCTGGAGGAAGAGGAGGGGCGCTAAGTCTTTCGTGGATGGTCGGGCGCGCGCTTCGTCTCGACGACAATACGGTGTAGATTACTTTTCAGAATAGGCGGCGTGACGTAAACGCGTCCCGGCGGTTTTCCTTCGCGAACAATAGCCCGTGTTTACCAACACAATTTGGCTCGGATTTAGGCGTAAATGCATGTGCGTCTAGATGTATGTGTGTGTGTGTGTATGGGTGCCGAATGAGTATCTCTTCGGAATCTTGTAGAAACGGAATGCTTACATATTTATTAGATTATTCTGACAAACGTTACATTTTTTCATAAAAGGTTGAAATAAAAAGAAACACGAGAATTAGTTGAATTATTGGCATGTGCATATCAGTCAAAATGTTCAACAGACTAAAATAAATTAAATTAATAAAAAGGCACAGTGCTAATATAAACAATGACATGAACCACTTAACTATTAAAATAAGAAACATTGGTTTCGATGCAGTACCGCAAAGTGTTTTCGGCAGACGATTAATTTCATAGTTCTTAAATTCCATAATGCGCATGATTTTGAACATTTATACAAGTATATGTTGATACGAACAATTTACACGTTGTTAAGCGACAAACTGTCAGTCAAATAATTAAAGATGTGATGGTTGGAATTGTATTTTGTCAGTGTAGGAGATACTTCATATTGTCCAACGACAATCTATTACATAGATATATATATATATTAAGATATATATACATAGAATATGAGAAAAGGGTTGACGGAAAATTTTTGTATAATAAAAATCCGGCTTTTTTAATTTCATTGAGGTATTCAGTTATCCTCTTAGAGTTTAACCTTCCGAAAATGCAGTCGTGGTTGAACTGGTTTGGTAGCTGAGAATTATCATACGGTGAATAATATTACTTCACACGCGGCATGATATTAACGCGGACATCTCAAGAAGTTAGAAAAGGGTCGAGCACAGCACGCCACGATCGAGATTGATTTGATCTACCTCCGACAGGGTGCCAGACGAAACGATATGCCTGGATATTGGGGCCTGATGAAGGCTTCTCGAATGTCGTATCGGACAGAAAGCGGGAGAAAAAAGAAGAGAGAAAGAAAATAGAAGGCAAGGAGGGAAAGAGGGAGACACAAGTTGATTGAAATAGAAAGAGAGATTGAGCAGGAGGGATGCATTCCTAGTCAGCTTACCGGGACATCCAGAGCATCAGCTATCGTATACAGTTTCTTACATCCAGAGATGGCGGATTTGTTTCTGCTCCTGCGATATAAGACAGTTTCTTGAAAATCGCGGCTCTTAGTACAAAGGCATCCTTAATAAGAAAGCAACAAGGTATCATCCTCGAAGATTTTTTAAGCTATCAGGATCACGTAACATTGTTATGTATGCCGCTTCGCTTAAAATTGGTAGATATTTAAAACATAATTAATGTATAAATATAATTTGAATTAAATAATTTTAGATCCTTTATATAGAGACATACATATTATTTATACATTATTTGTATATTATATTTTGCGTTAAATAAAGATAACATAATAAATGTTACTATTTTTTTCAGAAAAATATGACAATGAATTTTGACTCGCTTTATTATTACTAAAGATGAGTCGTCGATGCTTTTCATGATTTATGCGTAAGAAGAAGCGACGATCGCGCAAATATTCATTGTCATTATCCTTGTTATTATCCCGACCCGTTAAAACGATCAGCGTAACGCGTCTATAAAACATAGCACTTATCCGAATCCTTAACGGTAGATGGGTGAAAGCACCGATATTTATGGAGTACTGATTACATCGTATAATAGCAAGTCGACTCACTGGGCGCGCTCCCCCAGAATGCATAGATCCCTCTTCCATTACAGAAAGTCAGTCGAGTGTGAAGTATTATCATACAAATATAATCCTCCCTCGCGACTCTCTGCTCGGAGAAATAATATTTGTTCCGATCGTACGACCAATTATCTTAACTTGTGCGATATGTTAACGCGCATACATATGCATATGTATATGTGGGATCCCATATTCTTTCTCTCCTTCGAGTATCGCATATGTATATAGATAAAGAAAATATATTCATACATGGCATTTAGTATAGGATGTATTTCTTTGATCTTTATGCTATTGTAAGAAAATCTGTCTTTATATCTCAACGTTTTGTAATTTATTGTCAATAACAATTGTGCTTTTTTAAATTTTCTGAATTAATTAATAAAGAATATTTTTTATAAATATAAAATTGGAAATACTTTTTAAATTCTAGATATATTGTTTTGCTATTTTTCTAGCGTTATTGGTCTTACATCTTTTATTTATGAAACGGAAATATTATACTCTGGTATATACTCCGGTCTATATAATCTAAAAAGAAAGAAATGTTTCACGATTGGTTTGGTTTTACCAAATGACATTCCGTTAGATCGCTTATTTCCAATATCGAAGAAATGTCTGATACATGGTGACGCGTAAAAATACAAGGCAAATTGTATAAATGGCAATTCGCGCAAAAATAGAAGAAAAATCTCAGAAACCTCGTATGTTTATTCGAATGTGATGTTAATATGATCATTCTTTTTTTTTTATTCTCCACGGAACAATTGGCTCTCTGATTAGAGTCATCTGCGCGAGACTATCACACATGAAGAAATCGGTCCGACACAATGATTCGTTTTCTCTGCGACTCGACAAGCGAAACCGCCCGTGAGAATCTTCTAAATCAATCTACACGACAGCATTTATCGAGCCACATCCCTCAATCTCACTAGATTTCGGATAGTAACGCATGTCCAAGGCATTAGAAGCAGAATTGATGATCCTGAGATTTCTTTCTGTACGGATATTTGTTTCTGCACTTGTTCGTATAACGGAACATTCATGTGAACTTTGTTCAATGTTCTGCCTGTAATTTCTTCCATCAGTCATTGTTATTGTGTAATAATATATGCGGAGAAGATTAATTAAAACAGTCCAAAAAATACATAAAATTTTTATTATTTTTGATTAAATTAATTGGCGAATATTTATAAAATTTCTGCAAAATATAAAATTATTGCATGTATCTCTGTATTATTTGAAGACATCAATCTATCGTATTTATTGGTTAAACATTTTTAATTATTTTTATTTCAGAAAATCGCTGTCTATATACATTGAATCAGATACATTAATATTTGATAATTTACTACTAAAAACATCTTTGCATTAAATTCAGCACAAAATATTTTGTCCTGTTTTGTGACAAGTCACCACATAAGCCAGCACAGTTTCATTCGTATTGCCGAATCACTTGGCAGTAACTAATATAGTAGCATTCAAATTAGATGCCTCGTTTCCTCTCGCGGAATTCCCTCCCGCCGCGTGACAGATATATCGAGAATTAACATCATCGAAAATAGAAAAAAATGCGCGGGATATGGTAGCAGAAGAGACAGGATCTTGTTACTCCGAGACTCTCGGCATCGGCAAAGCATTCCTCATGTCAGAACATCGCCGTGCATCTAATCTTCAGCGAAGAAGGAATCGGACGAGGTCAACGGGACGCATCCACGAGAAGCTACTGGTTTCTCGTTCATTCGTGCCCTCGTCAAACTCGGGAGCTCGTGTACTCATCCTCGGAAAGACGTCTCAGCGTGAATCCCGCACTCCATCCCCTGTATCCGTCTTCAACGTCCGCACGAATTTCAGCAGTGACTTCGCGAACCGACCTGTATATAAGAAGAAGAAACCTGATTCTTTTTTTTTTTTTGAGATCATCGTGAAGGGCATTAGCTGGAAGCGGAGTGAGACAGGTCATTCCGAGACCCAAATTGATATGAAGAAAACCGACTCATACAGGTAGCCGGTACTGATGCGCAGGTACCGGTCGGTCGAGCTCATCGGTGGTCTTATTAAAAACCAAGAGAAAATTATTTTTTTTAATCGATCAAAATACAAATGCAAATTTTAAGAAGAAGAATTTTACGTCAAAACGATTGAAGTATTATAGGACAAAGTTATTTTTTTCGAACGAATTAATTTGTTAAAATATTTGCGTAGGTTTTTGATTGCAATAATGATGACGTTACTGCGAAAGTTTCTCGAAATGGCGTACGAGATATCAACAAATCATACGCGAATTTTTCTTGCAGTCGCGCTCGTCGTGTACGACAACGAGATCACTCAGTCCGGTGACAGGAGTGCGTCCGACCGCGTTCTGGTGAGAAGGACGATGGAGGTGGCAGGACGAGGAAGCGAGCGGAGGGAAAGGAGACATACGTTCGAGAGACAGAAAGAGAAAAGACTGACACGGAGCAGCGATGAACAAACGGACCACCCCGTCTGCGAGCGATCATGTTCCGATCACGTAAACTAGCCGCCCCCTCATCCATCATGCCTTCGTCATGCGCTATCACGTGTTACCGGTCTCTCTGCCAAGCTTCTCTCGTCTAATCATTCTTTTTCTACCGCGTCTCTTCTCTCGCGACGTCGCAAATTGGTGCTGGAGAACGCGTGGAACTGGTTGCATCGACCGGTCACAATTCTCAGACACGCAACTTATAGAATGAAGCATATATTTATATATTGCTGGCGCTTAAGAAGGTTATACTATATAAAAACAGTTACATAGTTTTTCTAGAAAACGAGGTTTTCTTTTTATAAATATATATTTCATGAGTATTAGACAAAATAAGGAAGATATTAGAAAATGTATATAGATAAAAGCTTATTTCATAATAAATAAAAATTATAAGTTAGTATTAATAATTAGAAAATAAATTAGATTTAAAAAAAAAGGTAGTCAAGCAAAATATCAAGTTACCTTTTTACTTTTCACTATAAAAATGGTCACTTACTTTTCTACGTAATATTACGCAATCTAATTTTACAAATTAAGACCGCGAATACCGATGATTAGGAATTGTAATGATACGGTTAACACGCCTTATTCATATTGCACGGTTCCATAATTCCATGTTGTATGTTCAGAGTGGCTTTCATAACGCGAGTAGCAGCAATCCGGCGTTCTCCGCTGGACAGTGGATCACTAATTGCTGATTGATCATTTCTGAATAACGCAATTAACCGAGCGAGATGCTTGCGCAATTGCAAAGGGAATATCAGGTGGATTGCGAAAAGGGTAGGCTTTAAGTCGGCAACTCGAGACAAGAGGCTTCTGCAATAATCAACTCTGCATAACCTCGATAACTTTATCACTTTTATATATCCACTTTTTATATATCCGCAGAATATATATAATATGATAATAATATCTGTATATAAACCGTGTATTAAAATTATGTTATTAATAAAAAAATATCATTTTTAAAAAAGAAAGAGGAAAATAAAAAATGTGTGTGTATTTGGTTTGTATTTGTGTGTAATAATTAGAGAATAAAGTCAAGTTGTATGTATGTACATGTTTTTATTTGTTCGTGTGCGGAACTATATTTAAAACTATGATATTTAATTAAGCTTTTAGATTATCTGAGGATTCTCTCTCTCTCAAAGAAATCTCTGACGTAACGCCCGAGTGTTGGAATATCGAGAAATGGATCGGGACTCGATAGAGTGCTGACAGCCGGGGGCGTAAGAGGGTGAGAAACGTAGGGCAGAAAATGAATAAAGGAGGTTCTGGCACGTGCAAGAGCTACCGACCGCAAAAGAGGCGGCTTATATTATTATAACATAGGCAGGTGGGCGAGACCGTCTATTGATGGCGCTAACGAGGGATCGGTAATTATTATCCACGACTTAACTCCTAGCTGTTCGTGCAAAGACCTTTTATTGTGACGGTTCACCCTTCTTCAACCGAATCGATCTAGCACGCGGGAATTTTATAATACGCCCACGACTATTTTAATAAGTATTATGACAATCTAACCACACAAATTGTGCTGCTTGATTTTTATAATCTTTATACGCTTGGTAAGTTTGAAATTTGAATTAAATCAGCTTAACATTATATGTTTTTTTTACGAATATTTTTAAAGATATTTGCGAGTTAAAATGTCTCAAGTTTATTTTATATTTATATTTCACGACTTATAGACTTGTTTTTTAATTTAATTATATGTTTTTTTTTTAAATACCAAACTAGACTAGAAAAATACAAACGTGCGCGTTATTTTTCGGTTTTATGTTAAAGAAATGATATTTTCAAAAAATTAATGTAAAGTCTGTTTTATTTTAAGTCTGTTTCGATTAATATTTTTAACAAAAATTAGCTGGTAACTGTCAAAAATATTAATCGAGTTTAAAGTATTATAAAATACATATTTTATTCAAGATATATTATTTTAATTTTTATAATATATTATTATTTTAAAATTTAATTAACAAATTAACGCTTTAATCAGCTGATTTCTGTCAAAAATTATTATAAAGCGAAAATTTGCTAATTAAATTTTAAAATAATAATATGTTATAAAAATTTAAATAGTAATATGTTATAAATAATATGTTATAATACCTTATCTTCGATTAATGTTTTTGAACAGTTTTGTCAGCTAATTTTTGTCAAAAAATATTAATTAAATTTTTATTATATATATTTTAAAATTTAATTAGCAAATTGACGTTTTAATGAGCTAATTTCTATCAAAAAATATTAATAAAGCTTTAATTTGATAATTAAATTTTAAAATAATAATATGTTGTAAGTAATATGTTATAATGTCTCATCTGCGATTACAATTTTTGACAGAAATCAGCTGATAACTGTCTAAAATATTAATCGAGTTTAAAATATTATATTATTTAAAACATATTATTATTTTAATTTTGTTTTTAACATATTCTTAAACTGTTAACTTTTGCGATGACAGCCTCTCGATTCTAGGAGTATAATATGCGAATCGAGACAGCCAATTAGCATCGCGGAAAAGGGCAAATACTTGGAAGAATCAACTTAACGTGCCTTTTTTAGAAAGGGATGTTATATAATGAAGAGTGCTTCCCTGTGCATACTTATCTATATATTTTCCATTGTTTATAATGCATGATTATAGTCAAAACTTACATTACATTCTTGAAATTTAATAGAGTTGTTCACCCTTGTTAAGTTGTGTATCCGTGTGCCGCAACGATTATATACTTTCAGCGCATTAGTGTGAAAGCACATTTACCTGTCCGGTCAAAGTAGACGATCCATCATTGTGTCAACGGATCATTATAGTGTGTAAAGTATTTGATACATTCTCGTATCTAAAATTCTCTTAAATTTGGTCATCAAGAAATAACGTTTAAACGGAGAAAAATTTAAGCATATTAAATAAAGAAATTTATAAATGAAATAAATAATATATATAATATAATTTATAATTTAAATAAATGATTTTATATATAACATAATAGTAAACATATACATATATAATAGTTATTTTTTTATTATGTTAATTTTTTTTCATCGTAATTTACACGCTTTGGACAATTTATTGAAATTATTTAAATAATAGAATGTATACTTAATTTAAAATCGATTTGTTTAAAAGCCATGAAACAGAAAACAATATATGAATAACAGTAAGACCCGGTGTATAATTCTGTTTAGTAAAATCTTTTGGTATCGACTATCACTATTTAAAGGTAATACCGAAAAAGATTAAACGAATATTTGATTTTCTCATCCAGTTAATGCGAAAATAATCAATGTAAAAAATATTTTCTTATCTATATACAAATAGGAATTATGAGATTTAAAATTTTTCGGCTTTTAAAAGAACATCGAACGAAAAGAGATATACATTACTTTTCAAATTATACCTGTCAAAAACTAAGGACTATTTCATTAAAATATTTAAACCCTTGACGTCAGACAAGTCTTCTTAAATGATAAACTCTTTTCAAAATAGATATGCCGCGGAATGATTTATTTTTTACTCTATAGGGGGTCGGTTAGCCAGCAGTTTTTCTTAAACGTTTCACATTTTTCGAGAAACGGATTAAAGTTGTTAGAATGCGAATATAAGCTCTCAGCATTATTATTAGTTGAGATTTAAAATTTGAAATTTGTATATACATATAATCCTTTTTAGTTTCTTTGTTGTCTAATCCACATGATTAAAAAGTGACAAAACTATCGAATGTTTTGTGATTGATGCTCCTGCTATTTGAGAAGGATCTAGAGAGCTGCGGCAGATCATCTTCACGTCACAAAGATATTCCAAAATTTCTAGAAATTTCAAAAAAATAGCCTTATTCCACCCTAAGGTCAAGAACCAGATAAAATGTGAACGCGGTGCGTTTGAAGCAACTTATTAGCATCGTACGCGGTCGTCACATAAAAGACAGACAAACAAAGATATTTCTGAGCGGACTACAACGGTATCGATGTTACGTTCTATAATTCTGTCAGTTTACTTTTCTGCTTCGTGGGATTTAAGAAAGCTTTGACCTATTTCAATCAAAAGGTATCAATTTCTAACAAAAGAAATGAGATGCATAGAATACGTTAAAATCCGATAAATATAACGCCTAATTGAATTTTATGATTTTGCTTTAGAGTCTAAAATAAATTGTTACATTTACGCGCGTATAATCGCGAAAACATTAAAATTACAGAAGATATCTGATTGACGTGAACGTTGTATAGTCGTACTAGCATAATGCCGGTCTTTGATGTGATAAGAATCGCGAGAAGGCGTCTCCAATGAATGTGGATAAAAGAGTAAGAGTCGGATAAGATGGAGCGCGGGAAATCAAGAAATATAAACGAAAGAGCCGCGCGAGTGTGTGCCGGTATGCGTTGCCTATCACGCACTTTAACGTCCCCCGTTCTCTCGCGCTCGTTACTGAAATGAATGCCCGATACATACGCGGCGCGATGGTGGGTTTAGCCGAGTCGTCGGTTCAGACGAGCAGAGGAGCGAGATAAACGAGGACGAACGCGGGGAGACACGAAGAAAGAGAGAACCAGCTTTGCAGGTCGAGAGGAACGAGAAAGAGATAGAGATAGAAAGGGAGAGAAAGAGAGAGAGAACGAGAGAGGTGGTGGCGGTCTCTGAAAGATGTCGGTCGCTTTGATGTTCGCCGTCATCTTACGCGTTACCTCACCGTGCTGCGAGAACGAATGGCAATGCACCCTCTCGACCTGCGGACGTGTGTGAGAGCTCACACGTACGTACACATATTATAAACGTATACGTCCACGTACGCACCATCGCCCGAGGATTGTACGCGGAGGGTGGAATTGCGTACCGCGACACCCCTAGGCTCGTATCGTACTCTCGACTGCTCGCCTCGATACTCGTCACGATAGCGTGGCCCCCCTTGTGAAACACTCCCTCTAAACTGCGCCCTTCGACCTCCCGCCGACGATACAGTTTGCAAACAGCGTAAAAATGCCACTCGATTATTCTCTCTCGCGATACGAATCGTTGTCGGCCGAAGTCGATTGGCAATGAAGAAGGTGATGAAGCGAGATAAATATTCTCGGTTGAGACTTCATTGATGAAGGTCGATCAAATGAGATAGATTTTGTGCTCTAGAGATTTTTAATTTCTTTATTAAAGTAATTTGGTATCATTCTTTCGCGATATAGTGTGATCGTATATATTTGCAAAGTAAGTGGAATTTAAAAAAAATGCCTTATACAGAAAGTTTAATTTAAAAAACACGCTACAATATTCTAAACTCTGTGAACCATCTGTAATACCATATTCTGTGTCATAAAACACAATAATCATTAGACTCAAATCCACAATGTCTCTTTTCTCGCAAGCGATGGCACAGTTAATTGCACTGGCCAACGATTGAATCGGGCGAAGAAATCGTAAGAGATCCACCGTTCGCGATATCACGATGATCACGACCTCGATCAGCGCTCCAACATCAGTACTCATTAATGTTTATCACATCGGCGATCGGATCGCGCGGTGGACAAAGATTTCACTGAGGCCGACGGTAACCATAACGAATGACCTGCCGGTGAGCGTGCAGGTCTCGTCTTTATGGATGACGATGTATTAGGGCCGAAAATCTGGTATCGAGTTGGCGTCCACAAGAGAAGCCGGCTACTACCCGAGCTAACACAAACGATCTGGCAGTGGCTCGTTCCTAACCATACGGCAGCTCAATATCGAGAGGGAAACTCAGCGGGCAGCTTCAAATCTTTTTGGAACACAGAAGTTCCTTAATGTGTGACACCCTGGTTGTGAAGAAAAAGTAATTATAGATTAAAAATTGTTAATAAGTATCGATTCAAAATTCTAATAATTAGACGCTATGGGATGTTATATACT